CATGGGCTCGTTTATGGAGACCACCTTCATTTTGGACAGAAGGGGTATTCAAAGCGTAAGGGACGTTCATTCTGAGCTACCTTCATTATGTAACGAAGTGGTCCTCATTCTAAATTGACCCGGGGCCCTCGATTTGGTGTGGAATGAAGGGTCCTTCATGAAGGTATGAAGGGTCTTCATTAAGGTATGAAATGAGTGTGAATCGCATATAGAATGAAGGCTCCAGGTTCCCAGAGTGCAGGCATCACAGGCACGAATCAGAGGCTGTGCCCTTCGCAGCAGCAGGCGGACAGGCGCAGGTGTCGCGGGGGGGATCGGGGCTGCTGCCCCCCCCCCCGCCGGCGGCAGCAGCCGGGATGAAGCCTGAAGAACCCGCACCGCTGCCAACGGCTATGGCGGCACTGCTGACGCCACCGGGGGCGGCACTGGTGACGCCGCAGCCGCTGACGGCGGCGCCACAGCCGGCCATAACAGCAGAAACCGCCTGCATGGAGCCAAAGCAACGTCTGTCTGTCTGTATGTATGTTGGCCCTTGCGTCGCACCACCACCGTCTGCTGCTGCACCTGGTAGCTTATGCCATCTTGTATTTCTGGTTTCGGGAACAGGTGTATTTCTGTCATCATGTCATTAACTAAGGTCGTGGGGCAGACATTCGAGCGTATAACGCATTTCGTGTACGGCATATGATCCTATTTCTGCACTGCAAGCCGGCCGGCTTCGGGAAAACTCTATTTCTATTTTCGGGAGTTTCGGTACAACCCGAAACTCCCGAAGCGTGTTGCCGATGTCGGCCGATCACCGCCTTTTCTAGGCGGCAATTACTGCCCCCCGCTCATCACAACCACAGACCGACGGCCACCATAATGTCACGGCCGCAGATCGGCATAACGTCACCGTCGTAGTCATCGGTTTCCGCAATTACCCTTTTCCCCTTCCCTTCGTCACACACACACACACACACACACACATACACGCACACACACGCACACATACACGCACACAGACCCACAGACACACATAAATATGTACACACACACGCACCTTCGGTATGGCGGCCTCCTGCAGAGCCTCGTAATCGCGATGTCCCCGAGTCCGAAACGACGCTGGCAGCTGCAGCTTCTGCGCCGGCGCTAGCGCGGCTAACTTTGCGTATGCATACTGACGTACGAATTGCCGTACCACCTCACCATCACAGGTCTCGACAGCCGCCTCCGCCGACCGCAACCCCCGAGCCAGGGCCTTCGAACAGAAAAAGCATGCATATTACTAGATAGATAGATAGATACATAGATAGATACATAGATAGATAGATAGATAGATACATACATTCGTGCAAGTGACGATGTGCCCGGATGATATAATTGGAATGGTGTGTGTCTGTGTGGGTGGGGGGGGGGGGGACCATCAGCGGGAACCTTGCGGCTGATGACGTAAGAGGCAACTACTGTAAATTGAATTGTTCTTTTTTATCAGTAATAAGAATGTTTTACAGGCTTCATAAGTCAGCTACCTGACAGCAGCAGCTGGGTGATCTGGGAACCAAAATCAACTCCCTTATCATTCCCAGCCCAGCCCAGCCACCCCTCACTCCCAAACACCCGCACCTGAACCACCGCCAGCGCCGTGTGCGGCCGTACACTCCGGAGCAGCTCCCCGCAGAGAAAGCCCCGCAGCCGCACCGCCAGACTCCCCCTGGCGCCATCTCCCAACAGCGCTCCTCTTTCTCCACCTCTTTCTCCTCCACCCTCCTCCTCTACAAACCCCCGCCGCTCCCTCGATGCGGTACCAACCATGCTGCTGCTGCTGCTGCTGCTGCTGCAGCTGCTGCTGCTGCTGCCGCTATTTCTGGCCGTCGCGGTTGCCTTGGCTCTCGGTGCGGCGATGACGCTATTGCTGCCGTTGCTGTTGTTGTGATTGCTGTTGTTGTTGTTGATCTGGGGGTCCCCCGCGGGCTTGCTTATGCTGGTGGTGGTGGTGATGTTGGTGCTGGTATTGCGGGCGTTTCCGGGGTTGAGGGGGATTGACGAAACATCTGTTCCCAGCAGGCGCGGCTTCTTAGCCGGACTGGGGCCAAAGGCCTGCTTGGCCGCCGCTGCCGTCTGCCGTACTGGAGGTGGTGGTTGTGGTTGTGGTGGTGGTGCTACTGCTGCCATCTCTGATGACGTGGAACGGTCCCGTGCCTGCAACGGTGCATCATCATCTGCCGTCGCATCGTCACCACAACCGTCACCACAACCATCACCATCATCATCATCATCATCTGCTGCTGCCCCCATGTCCTGTTTGGATGCGCATATTTGCAATGTTACTGTATGTACTCTGAGCGACATTGATACACAGACAGGCGTCTGGCGGGGGACCTCACCACGCATGTTCGATAGGGGGCGTTGGGAAACGCACGCCTATGTACATATACATATATACATACATACACTCATCATCAGTGCCAGCAGGCGACAAATGAGCTTTGCTGTATCCTGCCCGGCAGCAGCGGCGGCAGCAGCGGCAGCAGCACAGATTCGGGAAAGGAAGTCACCAATCACACCTGTACACGTTCCCACGTACCGCACTACGGCAAGTTAACCGGGTACAAACACACATACACACATTCACGCATACACACACGCCCATCACACCTGCAGGTCGTCCATCAGCCGCAGCAGCTGGTCCAGAGTGAAGTCATCCCGGGGGGTGGTAGCCAGTCTCCGCCGCCACCACCGCATGGCCCGGAACAGCAGCTCCGTGATACCGAACCTGACACACAAGGGGGTGAGGAAGGAGGGGGGAAGGAGGGGGGAAGGAGGGGGGAAGGAGGGGGGAAGGAGGAGGGGAGGATGGAGGGGGAGGATGGAGGGGGAGGAGGAGGGGGAGGAGGAGGTGAAGAGCTGCTGCCCGGCCTCTATCTGGGTATTCGTACCGGCTATGTCGCTATCGTGACGAGTCCGTAGAAGGTTATTCGTACTGTTAGCCCACCCACCCCAAACCGACAAGCCAAGGCAGCAGCTCTCGTGACTGACCTCATCAGCCAACAGCTTTCTACGAAGTGTCGGCCCAGTCGTACCACCGTAACACGTCAGCAGGCACATCGACACCGGACACGCTCGCCTGCCGTACGAAAAACCGTACAACCGTACAACCGCAGGACAACCTACCTGCACGCAAACCGGGTTGCCGCTCGTGCGCCCTCAACGACGACACCAACACCTCCACTGCTGCCAACACCAGCCTTGTTCCTGTCGCAGGTGCTGGTGCTGCTGCTCCTGACGATGCCGCTGTTGTTGTTGTTGTTGCTGCTGTTGCGTATCGCATTATTATTATTTTTATTATTATTATTATTATCACAAGTAATATGGCTACTGTTTACATTATCAGTACAGCCGGTCGTAGCTCTCGTAGTTTCCAACAGGAGCATCTTTTCCGCGACCTGTATGCAGACCTGTTGCAGGGAAAGCAAGGACGCCGCGACATCGCCATCACCGCCGGGGGCCCTGCCGGGCCCGACGGAGGCTGTTTCTTTCTTATCTTCTGCTGCTAGCGCTGTGACCACCGCCTCCATCACCTCCTCCATATTGCCGGCATCCACCCGGCAGGAGGATGCCGCCCTGTTGCCAAGGAGGTGTGTGTGGGGAGGTGGGGGTGGGGGGGAAGACGGACCACGAGCGATTGAAGCTGATGCCGAGGAAAGACTGATACCAAGAAAGGGTGTGGGGTGGGGTGGGGTGGGGGGGCCCTCTCCTCCGGGCTCGTGTGTGGGTGTACTCGTTACACACCTCATCTATCCGGGTAACGCAACCAGGTGGGGTTGAAACACACATACACGCACATACATACATACACATGCACACATATGAAGCAAGCAAAACATATACCCTAAAACCCTAAAGCCCACAAGCCCACACGCACACGCTCGACGACGACGGCAACATCCACCCACGCCCCCACCCACCCATGCCATGTTCCGCCGCCGCCACATATATATACACACACAACATCACCCAGGAAGATCTAGTCTACCTATATGATGTGCCGTACTGTACGGCAGTTACAACACGACTCCATGTGCCGTACTGTACGATAGTAGGATACGCGACATAAGAGCCCATATGCATATATGTATACGCGCACCTCTGCAAGCGAGATCGCAGACATGCCGTGACATGGTCTCTGCCGCCGCCGCCGTAGCCGCCGCCTCGACCGCCACAGCTGCCACCACCTTCCCCCTCCGCCGCCACGGCTATTTCCGTTCTGCCGCCGCCGACGCCGCCGCCGTCAGCCGAACTCTCCCCTCCCCCCCCCAGCAGCAGCAGCCTCCTGAGCTCCGCCCACAGTCCCAGTGCTGCGGGCAGTTGCTCCAGGGGCAGCAGCGGCGCCAGTCTGGCGGTGAGTGCGGCCACCTCGCGCTGGAGGGCCACGAGCTCCCAGCAGTGCGCCATCCTGCAGGTGGTGGTGGTGGTGGTAGTGGTAGTGGTAAGGGTAGTGGGGGGAAGACGAACCACGAGCGAGTGAGTAGTGGGGGGGAAGACGAGCCTATGCGAGGAAGTGGGAAATGAACTGGGTTCAGGGGGGTTAGGGGGGTTTGGGGGGTTAGGGGTGGGGGGAGTGGGGGTTTTGGGGGGTTTGATGTGGACCAGCAGCGTGTCAAGGTTGTGTCAAGGTACTTAAGGGTTTACGAAAGCGTTATATTAATGTTGTCGTATCCTGTAGGGGGCGTGTATCATCGCCACTACGGGCTCTGCTGTCATCATCATCGTCATCCGCCGATTGGTGCTCTTTTTCGGTAGTGGTGATGTAACAATTGAGGAGGTTTTGAAGGGTTGTAAGGAGGAGTGTGGGATTTTGGGATGCGCTGTGTAGAACGCTGGTAGGTAGGTGGGTAGGCAGGTAAGGCGGTTAGGTAGGTGTGACAACGGTTATGTCGTTGCAAGTTAATGCGTGCAAGTACGAAAAATTGCACAACGTACGTATTTGCTTCCGCAAATCTTATGTAAGTATCTACATGTGTATATAGCCAGACATACGTACAAACAATGTACACACAATGGCACAAAAGTCGTGTATTGGTATGTGTACCCGCAGTACGTACGTCATGTGTACGACACGTAACTTTGAAGGTGGAATAGCTTAATTTGAACGCGGAATCCAGCCAGAACTCGCTCACCCACCTGAAGACCTGTAGCAGGAAACGCGGCTCCCAATCCGCCCGTACATGTGTACGGCCCATCACCCATGCCACTACTGCAGCTACAGCCAGGGGATCGTGGCCGGGTATCGTCATACCCGTACATACACCGCCGCCGCCATGGCCGGTGGTAGTGCCGCCGCCGCCGCCGCCGCCGATGCCACCGTTGTGCGCTTCATCCTCATCACCATCAAGCTCCTCAAAAAAGCTGCGGCGTTATTGCACAGACACAACATACATATTATATGTGTATTAAATATTTAATTTAATAAAAATTTCTATCATGCAAGTTTACAACATTAGACATTATATAGGTAGCCAAGGAGGTCCAAGTTGAAGGTACGGCAGTACGGCAGGCAAGCTCGCAGGTTTTAAAGTACCTGCTTGGTCACCCCTGCTTGTGCATCAAGACCGAATAAGGCAGACTAACCCATCTCGAACCTCCGTACGAATCGTCGTGTTCTTCCGTACATCCGATCATCCCTCCGCCATCAACCGCAAGAGAGTTCATAATAACTATTATTTTACAGTACGGCCAGTACGGATATATTACCTTGTTTATTGTTCTCTCTCTTTGCAACTCCCTCGCGCAACATCGTTTATTCAAATCCTCCTCCTCCACATGCCCCACATACACCGACACTACCCCCAACCCCCACAGTAACCCCCCCCCCCGCCACCTCCTCCTCCTCCACCATCTCCTCCTCCTCCTCCTCCTCCTCCACCACCTCCTCCTCCTCCACCACCACCTCCTCCTCCTCCTCCTCCGACCCCAACTTCAACCTCAACCCCTATCCCACCACCATCCCAGCCCCACCACGGCAGCCCACCGCCCCACCCCTCCCCCTTGCCACTTTGCCGAACCCACCAGTGCCCGAAACCTACTCATCAAAGAGCCCACTCCTAGAGTAAAGCGACAAAGCGGCCGCAAGCGCCTTGCAGGGCCGCGCCGCCGCCGCCGCCGCCACCACCGTTGTACGGGCAGCCGTAGCCTCGCCGCCTCCGTCGCCGTCGCCGCCACCGACACCATCATATCGTCCAGCCGCAGCCGCTGTCCTGGGGCGGGCGAAACCGATCTCTCGAGGCGCCACTTTCCGCAGCCGCTCCACCAAAACCCGACGACACCTCGCCCGGGCCGCGGCCGCGTATTCGTGATAGCACAACGTGGGGCTTATCCTACGTCTCTGATCCTGTTGTTGTTGTTGGTGGTGGTGGTGGTGGTGGTGATGGTGCTGCTGCTGCTGCTGCAACGCCGTCGTCGCCGTACATCCCTGTGTGCCGTATTGTACGGGCATCCACAGCTCACACGAGGTAGGAAAGCGATCCCAGCCACGAACGAAATCATGTATTTTAATAATTTGCATATACATACATACATACATACTGCGGCAGCGGCGGTTGTACGTCACGTACCTGTACTTTGGAAGGAGCCGCAACCGCAACGACCTGGACCTGGGGCTCCACACCTCGCCTCGCGTCACGCACACCCCCCACCAGCGTTACCGTCCCGCCTGATGCCGTACCCAGCGCCCGACGTGCCACGTGGAGTCGTGCCGTACCGAGAAGCTCAACCGTCTCCCAACGACCCGCGGCGGCGGCGGCTCCGCCGCCGCCGCCATCAATACAGACGCGGTGCAGTGACGGCACGAATGAGCCGCCGCCCAACGCGGCGGCACCGCAGCTGCGCTCCCGCGCGCCGTACACGTAAATGTACGGCAATGTGTCATCAGCCATGGCGACGGCATCGTCGTGGTAAGGCGGCGGCGCCGCCGACGATCCGAGGGGGCACTGATCGTCGAGCAGCTCACAGGCGCCCATCTGAAGGCAAATGCGGTGAAGCCACCAGCGGAGGTGACATTCCGGCCGTGGTGCCGCCGCCGCCGCCGCCGTCGCTGCCGTACCCCCGCGAACGCCTCCACCATCGCATACCCCAGGTCCGCTGGACAGCACATACAACCCGCCGCTATTCACAGCTACGGCAGCAACACGTGTCAAGTACGGCAGCGCTGGCCGTACCGCCGGCAGGCCGCCGTGGCTTCCACTGCTGCTGCCGCCGCCGTGTACGGCACCCTGTGATGGACATAGCGACAGGCAATTCCACTCCACCTTGCGGACCACGACGCTGCCGCCGGGGAAGCCGGCGTCATCATCCACGGCATCGCCGCCGCCGCTACCACCGCCGTGATCACCGTCAGCGCCCGTGCCGCCTGCCGGTGCACATCTCCACGCCGCTGCAACTGGCGCCGCCGCCGCCGCCGCAGCAGTCGCAGTCGCCAGCCTGGTCTCCGCCTCCGTTGCCGCCACAGGCTTCACTGCTGCCGCCTCCGCCGGCGGCAACTGAGCCCAGAAACAACACGGCGGCGAGTCCGCCGCTCCGTCGTCCCAGGTCGCTTGAAGTGGTGGTGACAATGGCTGCACCGGGTGGTGGTGGTGGTGGTGGTGGCGGTGCTGCTGCTGCTGTCTCTGCCACGGCGCCAGCACCGCCACATCGCTACCATTCATTCTACTGCTACTACTGCTGCTGCTGCTACTGCCGGAGCGGCCGGCACGGCCGCCAATAAGCCATAGCCGCGATGTGGCTCGGTCCACGACCAAATGATGACCGTACCGAGCTGACGGCAGCGGGCACGGTACTGAGGCGCATCCCCCGCCGCCGCCGCCGCCACTTGCATCCATAGCCGCTGCCGCAGCAGTTGAGGCGGTGGCTGTAGCGCTGGCCGTGCTAGCGGTACGCCACCAGGCTTGTGAACGTGACGTCGCAGTACCAACCGCCGCCGCCGCCGCCACCGATTCGAGACCGCTGCTGCTCTCCTGATGCACCCGCACCCTGCCGTACATGTCGTATTCGCCGGGACGATTTGGGTCAGGCTGCAGTACAAAGGCACGCAGCTCGTCGGTGGCCTCCCCAGCTGGTGAGATGCCCCCATGAACCAGGATGCATCTGCCGTACTCTACAGCCGCACAGCCCTGCAGTAGCAGCCGGTGGTGGAGGCAGTAGCGAGGGGTGATGGGAAAAAGGCAATGTACGATATTTTACGTACGCGGCGGTTGTCGTTTAGTTAATGGCAGTCTGCATTACCGATGGGAGCGAGGACGCAACGCACGTGCTCAAACACATATGGGGGAGGTTTTAACTGCCTGCTGCCGAGCTGACTTATTGATAGGGGGAGAGGGGGATGGGAGAGGTAGAGGGAGGGAGAGGTAGAGGGGGGAGGGAGAGGTAGGGAGGGTGGGAGCATGGACACGACAAAGGACAAGGGCTTCCCCTTGGAAATGGAGAGGATGCTATCAACAAGAAATGACCAGGAAACCGAACTAGGAAAGCTTTCTTAGAGAGTAATGGCGATTTCTGTGAAGTGCAAATGAACCGAAAAGTGAATGAGAGGCAGAAAATTGAAAATTGAAAACGAAACGCGATCCAAACGCGATCCAAACGCGATCCACACGGGGCGGGAACCTCACGCACCACGAACCTGCAAGGGTGGGAGCGTGCACGCCGCTGCGACCGGCGGTGCCGCGGCTCGGATTAGCTGCCTCCGCCAAAAAGGAGGAGAAGAAGGGCCAGCCCTTCTCTCCGGCCCCGGCCCCGCCGCTGCTGCTACTGCTGACGCCGCCGCCGTTACAGACCCGCCGGAGGAGAGCGCTACAGCCGCTGCTGCCGAGCCGCCCAGCAGCAGCCGCATAGGGCCCACCAGAGGCTGAAGCTCTTTGGCTTCATGCACACGGCTGTGGTCGAGAACATCCCCTACCTGAGCTGTAGCAGGAGCAGCAGTCGCGGTGATGGCAGTAGCAGCACCGCTGCCATACCGTGATCGGGCAAAGGAGCCTTGCCGCTGCTCAGAGCAGCAATTGTCAACGTCAGCGTCATCGTCCGTGTCGTAGTCCTCGGCTTCCATCGCGTTGGAGAGCGGCCGGCGGGAGGGCCGATGGGGTGCTGCATGGGGTGATGGTGCCGCGCTGCCGCCGATGATCAAATGGGTGCGGTGGCGATACGACAACAGCCGGCCTCCTGCGGTTAGTTAGGTAGGTAGGTAGAGCGGTAGGTAGGTAGGTAGGGCAGATGGATAGCTAGGTAGGGAGAGAGTTAGGGACGAGCTCGTCAAGAAACCCGGCAATACTTATATATCCGGATTTTCTCTCTATGGCAGCTGCAGCCCTTTCTCACCAGCGAAAGCGCGATCGCAGATGAGGCCGTTCTCTACGACCGCTGTGGCTGGTGTCGCGTCGCAGCACAAACGCTGTAGCCACGAATAAAAGTACGCTGATGTGGATGACGACGCTTCTAGAGCTTCGTTAGGGTGGATTGTGGCTGGTGGTTTCCCTTCCCGGTTGTTTAGACATTTTTGCAGCACGGCCCGGGCGTGGGGCGTCAGCAATTCCCAGTCGAGGTCTCTCCGCAGGTTAACATAAGCTTCGCCAGCATGGAAAGTTTGAAAAGACGTCATAGGCGGCCTAAGCCTATGAGAAAACCGATACAATCAAGAACAGCCCAAGAGCAGCCGTGAAGCTAACCGAATAAATCTCTCTAAATGCTTAGCTTATAGAATGTTTGGACTCCGTAATGTGAATAGGCGCAATTAACGGCTTACCAAGCCGTTGTCTGTCAAGAGCCCATTTGAAAGCAGAACTATAGTTTTGCACCTAATTGTAGAAGGATTCCTATATTGTTGAGTGCGTGAAATGTTTACAGTCCAGATGTCGCTTCAGGGCATCTCCCCGTGCACGGCATGGCCATTGGCAATCAAGGGCTGCACCCGTGCGTACCGTCACCAAAGGGCCACCTAACTCACCGACACTTCGCAGAGCCTGGTAGGCACATGGCGCTGGGGAATTGTTGTCACACCATGCGAACCTTCGTCGCTAAGTATGATGAGTACCCCATGCTAGCTAAAACGCCGGAAATGTTTAAAGTGCTCGTACTATCGGGCTCCGAGACCAGGCCTCGGCTCCTTTAACTAGCAGACTGGGAATTACAAAGCAAAGGTCGGCAAAACTTTCAGTCACTGCTGCGTACAACCGTGAATTTGTTTGCTGTCTGCCGGCTGTTTCCCGGTCAGTTTCACGACGACCAGCCCGTGAAGTCGCCGAGACGCCACGCCCAGCACCAGAGCATTTCAATAATGGTGGTATAATTACTGTCGCTATGCATACAAACCAGAGTCAGTTTTCATCCTGGCACATAACGCTTGAAATCGCACGGTCAAAGTTGTTCCTAGCTAAGTTTGGGGGCCCTGCGGAACTAGAACGGCTACGTAAGGAGTTTTTCGGGCCTATTCCTGCTCTCTGAAGGACCCCCAGTCAGGCTCCTTTTTGGAATTTCTGCTGCGGGTACAGCTGTACGACCCGCAGGACCTGCAGCCCATGCCAACCTCTGAAGCAAAGGCAACACCGAGGGACCGAATGCTCGCTCCGCGTTTATAGCAACAGTTGATTAACGTAAAAGGCAGAGCCCCGCGGTGCGGAGCTCACACGAGAATATCAAACCCGTCTAGAGATCAACCCCGAGCACGAATTATAATATATAATGTGTGTCTGCGCGCGCGCGCGTCGGTTTGGGGTTTGCGGTATCTTTACCGTCGTCATGTGCACTCGGTCTTTTCCTTCCGTTTCTATCTGTTTCTTAATTTGCCGCAGCATGTGTGTTCGTAATCCTACGGCGGACTCTTTCGCGACACCGCACCTGGGGCGTGATGAGGTCCCTATTGTGTGCGGAAAAGGTGGACTTCCCGTGCAAATTCCGTATCAAATTCCGCACCAAACTCCATGCCTCTCAGCCGAATTTGGACTCAAAGCCGTTACATCCTCAACCTATCCCATGTCTCTTGTACTTGTACACAACAAGCAAATTTTCGCTTTTTGCCATGTCGTTCCTTCATAATCTGAACTAGTGGAAACACCTGTGCTTCATGGCGGGCACTCAGGACTTGGGGCCGTTCATCCACTTTAGCTGCGGGTCCCGTTCATGCATCGTTTCCGCATTTGGCATGGCCGAGGTGAAGAGCCTGATCGCTCAGCTGGTGCTGCGGCACAAGATGAGGCTGGTCGGCGGGCCAGGGGCCCTGCAGCAGCACCTCTTCATATCCTTGCGCTCGGCGTCAGGTACGGTAGGAAGCCTGTGTTTACGCTGTGCTGGGGGTTGTCACCTTTTGCCGGATGCCTGTTTTCCTTCGATTCGTCGGAAAGGGATGGCCATTATTTGAGCGCGCGCAAACTTAAAAATACGGCACCGTTGACCCCCACCGTTGGCGTGTAAGGGTTACTTGTGTTGTAAATAAACGTGCGTTTTTAAATACTCGTCACTCCTGCCTCACAATACACGCCTGGCAAGCTTTTCTGAAAACTTCCATGGCACACGCCCTCACAGCCGCTGGCTCTACTCTTCAAGAGTCCGGAGCCTCCAGACTGGACAAACATAAACACACATCAACCAAGAAAATGCGGCCCCCATGACACAATGGGCCTGCTGCGCAATCCCCATGGACCACGGCCGACCGCAGAGTAAGGGTGCATTGCGCCTAGCGGTTAATGATCGCCTACATGTGTTCTAGGACATTCGGAAAACAAGGCTGCCAGCAGCAGAGGCGACTGCAGCACCTGCACCTGCACCTGTCAAATGTGGGACATCAAATCATCGCAGCTTGTTAATAAAGCCAGCGAATGCCGTGTCGCCAGCAACATTCGTCACCACCGATGCGATGGCAAGTAAACCCCCTCCCCCCCATTAAAAGCTAAATGTCAAGAAACCAAATCCTCCCTGCCATCTCGCGCTCTCCATTCGCGCTTTGTGTTTTTTTCCCCGCGTGCGGATCGAAAACTGGAGTCTATACATAGCACGCAATACCGACCACATAAACAAATGCAACGTCCCCTTCCAATTGCAAGCTGTGCGCATCGTAGCACTTATATTTATATCAATAGCAGCGTCCTTAAGCGTATATGGAAGATACAATGGTACGATACCGTACTCCCAGAAAACATTCGTGTCCATATATTCTGGAGGTACCTCGAATTTATGGCACGTAATGATTATAGCCTTGTCGAATCAGCGGCGCCCCCGAATTCGCGTGCGCTCCAAGACCACTCTCCAAAACAGCTCTGCAACAACCTTACCCCCACAACCTCACCCGTTGGATCTCCGTATACAAATTTTAAGGACTGATTCGCGTTGGTGATTAACCTGAGCAGCACGTGAATGCCGTAGAGCGACCTGACGGATCCCAGGTTCACAGGTGTTCAGAGTTTTTGGTGGAGTGAAGTAAAAATCACAGAAGTCTGTCCGCCGTCGACGGCCGTGTCCCTGAATGTTTTTGCACCATATTTGTAAATTATCGCCGACCGGACCCCAAATTTCAAAAAACACCAAAAATTGCCAAGGCTATTTTTAGGGGTGCCTTTAACATATGGACCACGAATTGCATTTTTTGGCAGTGCGGTATTTTACGGGGATGGGACGATACGATCACATGATTATATGGGCCCAACCAAGTGCTTACATGCATAATAAGCTAATTACTTATACGCTTATGATAATATACACAAAATTATATTGCCCCTATATTGCATCGCATTCCAGCGCTTCGGGCATGCGGCGGCTCAAGTGATCAAGTACGGATGCGGTACGGTTAGCGCTCCTGTAGCAAAGCACGTACGGGTAAACGCCGTCCTCTCCACAGCGCTCGTTATGGCGTTTAAATCCTGGAAGATGAAGCTATATATTATTACGTTCCAACGCAATATACAAACTGTAAAAAACGGGTTCTAAGGAGTTGCGGTTTGTACAGTGCGTGTACAAAATCGAGCCGCGCGCGCATGCGTTCCCCTAGGGTCTATAATGGCGCCATTATAGAACCTAGGGAACGAAGGCGGTAGTAATCTTGGGTTTTGAAAAGGAAACAGATCCAATTTCCGCACACTCTGCACGCATAGACACGCGCACGCACGCACCCACGCATGGACGCACGCACGCTCCTTTAATCGTCAAAATCACATGCCTACATACGGCGACCATCAAGAGCAGGTACAAATCTGATATGACCCACGCGCGCAAACACAGTCGCTATCCCATGCTTAAATAATAAGCAGGAAATAAAGCACAGGGCAACGTACAGCCGCCTGCTGCATCCGCCGCCTGCTGCCTGCTTCAGCGGTGCTAAAAGGAGTAGTACTACATTGCTGGTAACAAACATGCTGATGATGTCTTCACCGATGACCGTTGTTGGTGGCGGATTTGGAGCCAGTTTTAGGTTGACGAGGTGGCGGCTTCGGAGGCCGCCTCGGAGGCGGGCGTGGGCCCATGGCAGGGGACGGCGGCGGCATCGGCAGGTTCGCCTTTGACGGCACCTGCAGACATCATAAATATTCACGCAACCACGATAAAAACAATAATGCGTGGATGCCTGGAGTTTTATCTCTCTAATTTCTCTCTCTTTATATAATATAAGGGAGGGTAATACATATATAGGGAGACGGCTTTAGGGTTATTTTACGTTTTGGGGTCCTAGGGTTGTTTGGTGCTTCGCGTGGACGTGGTTGGCAGCGGAGCTTCACCAGCAGTCATGTCGCGGTCGTTGGCAGTTGATGGTGGCGTGCGGCGTTAGTTGGATTCTGGTAAGCCACCAAGCAACACGGCAAGGAGCCAGGGTGCTAGCATCAGGCAAGCGCTCTCAGTACGTGGGCCCAGGCCGTGTATCCATTTTGGATGCCTCAGGCACAGATCATGATCATGATCATGTGCTAGCGGGGGGGAGTAACAGCTGCTGAGGCCTTGCCAGATATTCCAACCTGCCCCCGCTGCTGTACTTGCCACAAATTTGTTACCCTAAAACCCTAAAACCCAAATTTTTAATAAGGCAGGAAATTTAAAAAAATAAATTACATTTAATTAATTTAATTTAATGGTATACGAGTCATAGAAGTTGGAAAAAGAAAAATCCCAAGGTACTAATAAACTACATTTATAATAATAGAAATGGAAGTTAGTTAAACTTAATGAAGTGAAACAAACTAAAATGAAACAACGCGACGCGGACACGGGGGCTGCCCCAACCCAATCGGTACGAACAGATGACGTACCGGTAGCGGCGGCGGCTTCGGCGACATCAACTTGAGCCAGGCAGGATTCAAATTTGATTGCAGGTTGCCCTCGAAATGGCCCACCACCGCCACCGCCCAGCGCTGCGGCCTGCTCGGATCAAGCTCCCGGGATGGCAGCGAAGCTGCCCTCACTCGGATTCGAAGCGACGCGCCCGCAGGCGGTGCATTCAGGCGGACCCGCTCCACTGTGTTTACCACGTCGGGTCGCGGGTTGGCTGTGAAGGGAGCGGAGGGGAGGGAGGAGGGGAGCCGAGGGGAGGGGAGGGAGGGGAGGGAGGAGGCGAGATGCAATTGGTTTACTTGCGAAGCACGGAGGAAAATAAATTACCCAGAGAAGCGAGGATGGGCAAGGATGTACCGTCTATTAGCGCACAGAGGTACACGTAGGTACAAAGGTATGCACCTCGCTCGTCACCTCAGAGGGAAGACCCCGGCATGGTAACTGGTAACAGTCAGTTAGTCAGTTGCAAGGAAAAACAAAAAAACAGAAAAAACAGAAAAACAGACGGGAGCACCCCAATTATACCGTTGTTGCCATTCTCCACGGCAACCCCGCCACGGCAGACATACAGACGCACCGATACACTGGAGCACCGCAGACACCATCAACCGCTAAAACCGCCCGAACCGCACGGGACTCCACACACAGCACCGCCCGCAACTCCCGCAGCGGTTACAGCGGTTACAGTGGTTACAGTGGTTACGGCGCCCTTCCACCCCCGGGGCACCAGTAATTACTCTTCGGGAGTCTGGAGCCCACTGTAACAACCACACACACACAGTTACCGCATCAGGGAGGGGACAAGGCTGGAAATATTAATTGGGCCCGATGTGTCCTACCCGAATTAATTTCGCTGTTGCCTAAATAGGCGACATCGTTTACCAGCAGCTCCAGATCCAAATTATTGACCAGCACTGACATGGAGTTTGGGTCGCCTGGGTAGTCGTAGTAGGCCAGGACCGCTGTTACGGGGCTGGATACATAGGCGTTTGTATGTGTGTTTGTACGTACGTATGTATGTCATCCGGGAAGGAGAGAAAGCGGGAAGAGGGAAAGGGAAAGGGTTTTAGGACGTTGATAGCGGTGAGGGACGGTATAAAGCACGCAAGTAATGTAGATGTATATGATGCGGCTGATGCATGTACGGATACAGAACATCTCAACCGATTGTCTGTTGTATGTGTATGTATGTATGTGTGTGGGGGGGGTTTGGGGGTTTGGGGGGGGGGGAGAAAAACACGCCTCCACATGTTACTGCTGGCCGGTATGGACCATACAACATGTAATGCCATGGTCGACGCACCCAATGTACGGCATATACTGATATACATCTGATGCACGGCGGCGCCCACGATATGCGGCGACCCATAAATGTACAACACATGAACCCACATGTGTACGACACAACGCACTCACGTACCCTGTTCCGGTGGCGGTAATGCCGCCCACGCTTACGGACTGCCCGGCAGCCGTGAACTCTCCGCGGTCTACCAGCTGCAGACGGACCCGTGGGTCGGTAAAGCCTCGCAATGGCAGGGAGCCAGCCAGGTTGAGGCGGCCCCAGCCCTGGTAGCCGTCGGGACCGCGGCCCATCTGGACGCCCGCGTTTAACGCCCAGCCGCCCTGCGGACATATAGAATGGGAGTAGAGAGTACGACGCAGTACGACACGGTACGGCAGTGTACGGCAAAGGTCAAGACAACTCAGAAGGTCGCTCTGATTGAAAGCTGTACACGGGCGGAGAGAGAGGATGGATGTACTACGAGCCGGGGGTCTCAGCCTGCCCCGCATCGATACGCGGTGGTTGCAAATAAACATTTTTCTTTATTTGCTATATCCCCGCCCCCCCCCCGGCAGCTTGGATCATATGGCTGGCAAGTAATATGCACAAGTCAGGAAAGCCGCGTAGAAAACGTGTCAATAAAGTTTAGGGAAAGCAGCATGCTGCGTTGTAAAAATTATCTGCGTAATACGCATTCAAAAAGTCAGCAAGTAGGACGCCTTAATTGCGTATGCCCTAGTAATTCATCATCTTTTGCATGCGAACGTGTTAGCAGAGAACACCAACACCGGCAGGTACGGGATGGGACACTTTAGAAAATAAAAGTACGGCAGAAACACACTGTGATCGTACACTCACCTCCAAGGACTTGGCACCCGCGATGAGGAGCGCCTGACGGTATCCGGATAGGCGAGATGCAAACAACATCGCTTAATTTTAATTTCAGAATTTTTATTAGTTTGACTTTATTGCGGAATATGCAAAATTGCAGTTGTCGGGAATTTCTTTTGGAAGAGGAAAAGCCATCGAGAGCCACGAAGGGAGAGCGAGGGGGCTGCGGAGGGTTTTAGGAGGAGCAGCAAATGTGCGTTACAGATAAAGAGACAGAAATATCCACTCCTGCCACCTGCTGCTCAACCATTAATGGCCGAGACAGAAATGGAGACAGGGTCGCGCCACCAGCAGCAGCAGCAGCAGCAGCAGCAGCAGCAGCAGCAGCAGCAGCAGCAGCAGCAGCAGCAGCTCCCAGCGAGATAAATTCAGCAGGAAAGAAGACGAGCTATCAGGAAGAAAATCACTGAAGGGAGCAATCGATGGCAATTAATTGCAACCGATATTGCTTGCTGTAGCGTTATTGCCAGGCATGATGCACGCGCACGCAGAACAATAAAAGTGATGATTAGTACACATCACGAATCACATCTCGGGGGTAAAGCGGTGTGTCGTAGACATTATCGTCGTATGCTTTCCTTTTCCAGGGTTTCCGGTGCGTCTTACAGACGGGCGGGTACCGGTGATGTCTTTGACTTTACAGTAGTGAGAAGCCATCCATTATTGGATGACTTACGCACCAACGCCTGTAAAATATTTTGATCGCCTACCGATCGTGCGCTGGTACACAATTAGATAGGTCCGCTCTATTATACCACGTCCATTCTATTATATACCAGTGTGCGATCTAAAGACGATATTTCGCAGACGAACTTACAAGCGCACACATACATACCTTGAGGAGTATGCCTGAGGGCGTGAATGGCGCAGAGGTCGAATCGTTCCGGGCGCCAGTTGGGTAGAAGCCATTCCTGTGCATGCGTAATAAGAAGCGTGGCCGGGAGGACTTAAATATATTTTGAGGACTGCGTAGAGTTTCGGAGCGCAGTTGGTCGTACGGCATGTATGTGCAAACGAGCATTTCCATATTGATCGCACTGTTAGGTGTCGAGACGTTTTGAATACCAATTGAAGGTTTATATTTAATGTAATATATATATATATAACTTCACGTATATGTATACACATATTTATACATGTATGTGTACATATATGCATATCTATATACAACCGGTTGTGGTGGTAGAGTTTCGCATGCTGAGTTGGTGATGATATCGATGGCTGATCTGTCTCTACGGATGTCGGGTGACTGGATGAGGCGGGGTCTGGTTAGCAGGACTAAAACGACCATCGGTTGTACGGTCGAATTATCTTTCAGTATATACTGTCCATGACCTCACGGCTTTGACGAAACCCCCCGCACTCGTGCGGCACTTGTAACTTGTAATTTGTAACTCGATAACACAATCGTACGCGTGTTATAGGGTAGTAGTGTAGTAGAATAGCATGTTTTGGGTTTTGCGTAGGCTTGGTTCCACCACCGGTGCATTGGAGATCATTGGAGCATGCCGACGGCCTGACGACCACGCCGGATCCAGAACCAGTTCCGTTCCCGTTTCGTATTTCCAGTTGCCGTCCAGCAAGCTGCTCGTGTTGCCAGATTATCTCCGGTAGTTGCCGTACCTGAGGTACTGCCGCAAGAGTGCTGCATGACCAGCGGCCTGCGGGGCCACGATGCCAGCAGCAGCACCAGCAGCACCAGCAGCACCACCACCATCACCATCACCATCACCAGCAGCACCAGCAGCACCAGCAGCACCAGCAGCACCAGCAGCACCAGCAGCACCACCACCATCACCAGCAGCACCAGCAACACCAGCACCAGCAAGAGTAGTAGCAGTAGCAGCAATAGCAGCAGTAGCAGTAGCAGCAGCAACAGCAGCAGCACACGAAGCGACGTCCATGCACATGTGGCGAAACGCAGGCGTGTACACACATACACATACAGACGATGACGCCTGCATCCAGCATCTATCAGGGAAATGCCGTGGACTAATACGTGGATATTCGTAGCACCGGTACGGGAAAGTATGGTGTAGTCGTACAGTCTTCAGGGCAGATGGTGTTTCCGTGTCTTGCCCAAACCCAACTAGTCTTGCTCATAAAGTACGGATAGCCAAAAGATTAAGATGAAAATAAAGATGAGAGTAAAAAGGAAGAGGATGGACAGGGGGAGTAAAAGAAGACGGAGATAATGAATATTTGTACTAATAAGCAGGCTAATAATATATTAATACAGTAAAATAATAATAATAATAATAATAATAATAATAATAATAATAATAATAATAATAATAATAATAATAATAATAATAATAATAATAATAATAATAATAATAATAATAATAATAATTTGCCGTACGCCCACCAAATGTTGAACGATACAGCAACAGCCGAATCAGTGAACAGCAGGTGATGAATTGATAACGGACGGACAAACAGACAAACAGACAGACAGACAGACAGACAGACAGACAGACAGACAGTCAGACAGACAGACAGACAGACGCACCAGAGGAGTCGCTGCCGATGTCCCCGAGTATTCTTGTGAATTACAGGAGCTCCCTGCATACGACGTAGTACGAGTTACAAATGCATCAAAGAGGCGCACATGGCGGGGGGCCCATGTTGCGATGATGGCGTTATTAAATTGCCGCTCGGAAAGTCAGAAGGCCTCGGCAACGCATAAGGGCGATATACGGCCTTCGGGTACATTGGACGAGCTTTGGGGGCTACACGGTGGCGCACGTACGAGGGGTTTAGGGTCTTGTGCATGACGTGGAAGCCATTACGTGTATCAGGCTGCGGGGCTAAATATTGCTATACAATAAAACCAGCTACTCTGTCGTATCCTGGAGGGCACATCAAGGGATTTGCATTCACCGATCGGTACCTTTCCAAGGTCGTGATATGACCCAATCTTTGCTAAGAGCAGGAACAGCTACAATTTGTGTTGTAATCGCACGTACAGTTTTGCTATTCCGCACAGTTTTCTGCTACAGGAATAGCATAAACCGATGCTGCACATCTCACGGTCGGTCGCACTTACGTCTAGTGGACGGGGACGTAGTCGTAATGATGAATCCTGCGGGAGATGGTGGGTTGGCAGGGGTTAGGTTCCGGAACGATGTGGAGGTGGCGGAGTGAGCATGTGCGCGGGCCACCGTGGGTTCCGCTCATCCAGACGGATACATCCTCGCGTTCTTATTTTTTGGTTGTTGTTGTTGTTGTTGTTGTTGTTGTTGTTGGGAAGGATGTTCAGACAATGCGTAATTTGAAAGTCTCCTGAATGAAGGGCCGTGGCCCGCTCGTAGTGAGGGCTCGTAGGGGGGCCTGCCACATCCAAAACCTTTAAGCGGAATGGAACGCATGCAGACAGAAAGACAGACAGACAGTCATGGAGACAGACAGACATGCAGACGGACGGACAGACAGACAGACGCGCAACGTACCTGGGGCGATGATGTCGGGCTTGATGCGGCCATCTGCATTTATCGTTGGGGGGGGAGAAACCAAGGGGATTTCCAAGCGGCCGTTATGCACGGAGAGGCCACGGAGCCAAACCTGGTTCGATCGGTGGGTCGGTAGACTGTAGGTGGCCAACGCCATTCTCTACAAGCAACCTGTCCCACCTAGCCACATCTAGCCATCTGTGCTGGGGCTCAACCCAGGCCTCCCACCTCATCGGCCCTATGGACCTCTGGCATGTGCCTGGGGCCGCTTTGTCCGGCCCCTCGATCGCCAGCCCCCACGTAGAGATTGAGCAATCCCCTCACACACCGCAACGGCCCCCAGAGCTCGGCAGTGCAACCCGTCCACATGCACTCCTCCACCCGAACTCCCCGCATGCACACATAAGCAGTTCAGAAGCGCCGTACAGTACGTTGCATATATGCGTTACACCTTCTGGGGTTGTGTTACTCGCTCTCCAAAGGTGTATGCGAGCCCTGAAGGGGTCCAAGGGCTAGCCGAATGCTGCCCAACATACATACATCACCGTACTTATGCTTAAGGTTAGGCACTACTGATAGAGCACGCACCAATGCCCCCGGGAGATCCCGGGATCGAGACCTGTCAGGGTCGAATATCCTTCCGATGGTGGAAGGTAAAAGTGCCCCTAGTCAATGGGAGGTGGTGACTTAGGATAAAGTTAACCTGCGAGCTGACTAGGATCGGAGTTGAGCGAGCCGCCGTCGATCCGGCAGATTCCGTTGGATGCCGATGGTGGGTACGGAACCTAAGCAATCCACTAAGAAGTTGGCTAGGGTGATTAGATGCGGGTGCCCCGAAATACCGGGGAAGGCAGGGTCTGCCGGGTAGCGGCCGCAGGGTGAAGATATGACCCCCCCTGTTCCACACATCATATATCCATTGCCGCCCGGAATAACCCAGGAAAACTCCTTTCCAATAGCCCTTACCCAACGTTGGGCCCCAGCTGCTGAATTCAGCAACTGCGTTGCTTTCCACAGGTACCTGTATGTATGTATGTATCCATGTATGTAATATATGGTGGGCGGGGCAAACATCGGCAGTGAGTGCACTTAACCACAGATTTCATCATTAGGGTTTGTTAAATAAATAGTAGCGTGTAATCCGCGATTCTCACACATGTACGTATGAAACCCTAGCAAGCTATCTGAATTGTTGGAAACGTTTTCGTTTTCGTTTTCGTTTTCGTTTTCGTCACGTATTCCACACCGCAAAATGAAGGTCCTAACTAAGACCTCCCTATAGCTACCTCCCCCGGCAAAATAGACCGCCGGGAATGCAGTAGCTGGACGCTGAAACGGCCTCGAGATGCTGGTGTCAAGCGCTTAACGCATACTTGTATATGATATGTTTGCCGTACTATATATCAGCAACTACAGGGAATCACAAAAAATAGTACGGTTATCTTCCAATGACGTACTGCCGCACGGAGTCGGGCGCAGTAATCGAGGCACTGCTGATGTTCCTGCTTTGCTGCTGCTGGTTGTTGTTGTTATTATTATTATTATTATTATTATTATTATTATTATTATTATTATTATTATTATTATTATTATTATTATTATTATTATTATTATTATTATTAGTTGTAGCATTTACAGCAAGTAAAGCTTCAACATCGCATTGCACGACTGTAACTTCGACAAAGCACGGGCGTACGGGAGACTAATATTAAATGCGGCCAAGTACGGCCCTCTAAGGCTTACCTCGCGGTATGTGAGATTGAGTTTGCCACCTTCATAAATAAATCCCACCATCCAAAGTCCAACGGACTGCGGATGGATGAAGAAATGGGAACGAGGGTGAAGGTGAAGGTGGATGTGATAGGGGATTGTGAAGCCGGGCGAGGATGAGGTCGTAAAATAATGGAGGCGATGACGGGAATAAAACATAAGGGCTGCACCAGTTCTGGCGTCAACTAGCGTGATGGAGGCGGGGCGTCGGTTGGTGTAAACGTCAATACGCCGTCATGAAGTCGCATACCAAGAGGCACAAATCATGGATCGGGCCATGCACAGAACGATTGTTGGTATCTGGCTGCGTTCACGAACCATTATCACTGCATTAGGCCGCCGACCTATGCGTGTGGTTGGGACACCTTTGGACCTCACCATACCCCATTTTACAGGTAGTGGACAATAATTTGCTTTGCGCGAATCCCCGATCATAGACGAGGAGGACAAACGGTAATTATTTCAAGTGAATCTCAAGTCGCAGAAGGGAAGGCTAGCAATCTTGTGTACATTCGGCCGCACTTCCTGTCACTGAGGCAGCACTAATTTACCGGAGGCACCTATAGCTAGCCGGCACGAGGTTCTTATCAATAATAGGGGAGAGCCATGTCGGCAAACCTCCCTTGCTGGTACCAGCAGTGCTAGTCCAGTCTTCGATGCTGTTGAAGAGGTGTGCGTGTCGTCAGAAACCCATCAGTACCTTTTTTCTGATATCTTTCATGCAGCGTCAGGCGATGTGCCCTTTGGCCCTCGCCTTCTTTGCTCCCAGCTGGCATAGACGTTTGGTAGCCCGCTGTAACAACGACAACATCAACAATAACAACAACATGCCACTACTGCCACCTTACCACATCATTTCGCCGTACACTGACGTACACTTACCGAATCCACCATGGATAAGGCAAGTGAATCTACCACGAGGCTGTTGTTGCTGTCTACAGGCGACGGCAGCTCTAGGAGACTGTTTGACAAATCCTGGATTAGTATCAGCGCCGCCGCACCGGCTGCATTGACATTCACTGCCTTTTGCGCCAAATCGCATTGGCCAACGCGCGCCAGTACGACAGCGCCCCGTACGGCAGAGCTTGGGTTCCGGAGTGAAGAACAGGCGTCGACGGGAAGTGCAACCACCATGGGAATAGATGCCTGCAGTAATACATGTATATTAAATTTCACGTGTAAACTTATTCATTTCGATATAAGGAAAAGTCGACAAAGCTTTTGTAAGTTCGATCACTTTGAGCAAGGTGGGATAGAAATTCCTGATGTCACAAGTTCAATACCGAACATGGGCGTATCTTTTATTATTTAGGGGGCGGGACCGGGGATGTCCTAAGCTTCCAGCAAATTCCCAATCTATTGCTGCTGATCATTAATGCCGATGCAGGCGCCACGTTTAAATGTCCCGAGGCAGCGATGTACGCCTTCGGACACGGGTATGCTGGACAGATGGGGTATACATCCATCGGGTGTATGTTTGGCGGGGCGGTTTTAGGAGACTGCTGGTAACACGGATGGATAGTTAGGGCCGCAGGCGTAATGTATATCTACCCCGCATGATGAACAAGCTCAATTTGTTCAGTACGCTACTGGTGGCCAACATGGCGACCGACTCCGTCCCAACACCTTACTACACCTTCGCTAGCCCCCTATGGTGAGTATTACCATACCCCGGCCGGGGTTGTCTCAAGGTCTCGGCGGGCAATGACTTCCCTCGAGCTCGCTTTGGGCTTCCCGAATGGCGCAGCAGTTTACAATCTGTATATATCGCCAAAATAAACATACACAACGTTGCGCAACAGCACTGATATCTACACTGTTGTACAGCAGGGCTCGCTCGTCGTAGTAGTCGCGCACACCCGAACATTTGATCCCTACCAAAAGTTCTCACCTTGCCTGCACTCTGCATAACAGAAGCCAGCGTGGGCAGTTGGCGATTCTCCAGAAGATATATCTGCGATATTAGATACATTATCCGGAAGAATGCCAACATACAAAAGATAGAAAGGGTTAAATGGGCGAGAGAGGCTATTACGCAAATGTGAGCGCCATCGTATCGTGTTCCATCTGGCCGCCGAAAAGGCCTCGCTCTCAAGATGCTGGGAACGCATCCTAATGCGTGTATATGTATCAACGGTTTGCACCGTACTGTACGACAGCTAATGCGGCTAGCATGGAGCTCCAAAGGCAGACATAATTAAAAAGCATCTATCAGGGCATTTGTGCACATACATACATGTGTTCAAGTGGCCCAGAAGCCTCCCACTCTGTTCAAATCAAATCAAATCAAATCAAATCAAATCAAATCAAATCAAATCAAATCAAATCAAATCAAATCAAATCAAATCAAATCAAATCAAATCAAATCAAATCAAATCAAATCAAATCAAATCAAATCAAATCAAATCAAATCAAATCAAATCAAATCAAATCAAATCAAATCAAATCAAATCAAATCAAATCAAATCAAATCAAATCAAATCAAATCAAATCAAATCAAATCAAATCAAATCAAATCAAATCAAATCAAATCAAATCAAATCAAATCAAATCAAATCAAATCAAATCAAATCAAATCAAATCAAATCAAATCAAATCAAATCAAATCAAATCAAATCAAATCAAATCAAATCAAATCAAATCAAATCAAATCAAATCAACATACATACGCACGTATACATGCAAGCACAGAAAACAGAAAACGCAAGACATGCGCCGACAAATACGCAAACAAATAATCGTACATGCACGCACCGGATTTTCGTACATTGTACCATCCCGTTGTACACCTCGTGTGGTGAGCAGGCTCCGGGACCACATGCCGGCTGGTAGGCGGTACCCGGCACCGACCGCCACCACATTTTTCGCATAAGCAGGGGAAAGCACCGTATAACGCGATAAGACATCGCGTCCTGTGGGTGATCGCGCATGCAAGGGTTACGGGGGTTTAGCAGCTCGTACACAAAGTGCGGCACACGTATCAACTACAAATACGCGCGAAGCGCTCGATCAGCATCTCGGGAGGCCTTTTCAGCGGCCAGGCTGCTACTGGGGGTTTACGGGGTTTATGGGGGTTTACGGGAGTTTACGGGGGTCTATGGGGAGTTAGGGGTAATGAGGGGTAATGAGGGGTTACGAGGGGTTACGAGGGGTGACGAGGGGTTACGAGGGGTTACGAGGGGTGACGAGGGGTTAGGGGGGTTTTGAGGGGTTAGGGGGGTTTACGGGGCTTCCCTCTCTGCTCACGCAGGAGGAGAGACACAAAGGTCCAGCTGTCTGAGTAAGAAACGCTCCCACGTTACGTTCACCGCTGTTTAAGTGACTTCGTTGAAACAGCGTGATGAGGCAGCAGTGCATGCATGTGTGTGTTTGTAAGAGTATCCATACGAAGTCGTGACGGCGTCCATACCCATGTGACGGTGTTAATTCCTTCGTTTTCCTTCGTTGCGCTTAAAGTAGTAAACGTATAGAGTAAACATGGTGTGTGTACCCCTGCCCCTGCCCCTGCCCCTGCCCCTGCCCCTGCCCCTGCCCCTGCCCCTGCCCCTGCCCCTGCCCCTGCCCCTGCCCCTGCCCCTGCCCCTGCCCCTGCCCCTGCCCCTGCCCCTGCCCCTGCCCCTGCCCCTGCCCCTGCCCCTGCAGCTGCATTAGGGAGTATGTGTTGTGATGGCCACAGAAAGTTCCAACCAACCGCGAAGGTTAAGCCACATACCGTGCATGTGTATTGAGGCGTAGACAAGACAACACACATACATACATGCACACACACAAACACGCACACACATCAGCAGATAGAAGCAAAAGCTTACCGCGTTTCGTGCACTTGCCTGGAAGTTGTAGAACGAAAAGAGTTCGTCGACAGACGTCTGGTGTCTGCCCAGGTACGCATATGTATTTCCCCACACAACCGTTTCGTAACACGCACACACAAATAGACATACAAACGCATGCACAAATATGCAAAGATACCTCCCCTCATCGCGCACCATTATTGCCAGCAGCCAGAAAGGAAATGAAATCGGGATTCTCCCATAGGAACTTATCAAAGCCTGTCGGGCGACATGTGTTGGGCGACATGTATGCAAGGGCGGGGAGGGCGGGGGGTTTTGAAGCAGCAGCAGAGGATGACGTGGCAATGAGGTTGGGGGGAAATGGTGTGGCGGGAACGGTCCGGTCTGGCGGCTGCGGTGCGACCACCCAGCCACCCACCGGCACATGTGCGTTCCTGCACCGGCACAAGAAAAACGTTTCTTTCGGAACTGGTGCACGTACGCAGCAAACAACTGATTAACTGCTAGGCTTACTACTACTACCGCTACTACTGCTATTTCTACTACTATTACTACTACTATTACTACTACTAATCCTGCTACTACTACTGCTACTGCTACTGCTACTACTACTACTACTACTACTACTACTGCTACTACTACTACTGCTACTACTACTAATGCTACTACTTCTACTACTACTACTGCTACTACTACTACTGCTACTACTACTACTGCTACTACTACTGTGCTACGACTGCTAGTGGCCAATCCGTTATAAGGCTCGCAAACAGCTGGATAGCTAGGTGCGTTATCCTGTAGCTTGTTCCGCCTGATGTACGTACCTTTACTTTGGAAATCATATCCACTGACACTCGCGCTCCCCCAGGAATCGCTTGTGATGAAGGCGCCAACGTTTTTGTGCAACTTCGAAGTCCAGCCGCGGGCCGCGGGGTTTGTGAGTTTGGAAGGGAAAGCAAGGGGTTTTGGTGATTTGGGGTTGAAAAACGAGACAAATGGAGTTTTTGGGTTCGAAAGACGGAGCGAAAGAGGGCCTCAATCTCATCAGTGACGAAGGCAAAAGCGAAGACGAAGAAAGCGAACTAAGAAACCAGGAGGATTCGGGGGGTAGTCCTTCCTTTCTGAAGTTTTGACTCCGTACGTCGTACAGACGTGCACTGTACGGCTCCGCTGTCGTCGTACCGGCAAATACAGGTTGTATGCATCGACGGGCACCCATAGCACGGTGCTGCTGTCGCCATCACCTCCTTGCACATCGACGATGCTAAGCTTGACCTTCGGCGCCGCGCCGGTAGACTCGTCCAGCTTTACTTGACTGCCGTACGGGTCTTCCGGCCTCATCAGTATGGCGCCCCCGATGCTGCCCGCGACCATCGTGCCGTGGCTACCACGGTCCATATCGTCGCCGGCTGCCAAGACAAAAACACGGATAAGACGAAAAACACCAAAAAACTATAAAATTAGTACACGTTGGAAAAAAATGAAAGGAACTCGTAAGCAAAAAGATTGCATAATGAAGCAGCTGGCAGAAAAAAATGCATGTGATACTCAACTACTAACTACTCACCTATACCCAACTGGGCGTACTGCACTACCTTGCGATGCCCCGGGATCTGGGCGTACGTGGCAATGCCTAGTACGGGAGCGTTCGGCTTCGCTAATGCTGCCCTGTACGAGCCATTGTAACGGATGTCCTGGAAGGCACAATGCTCCAAATCCAACCCGCTATCGGCCACCTGGGGATCTCGAGGGAAAATAAGAAAAAAGGTTAAGGAAACTGAAACAGAACAGAAACCAAGCTGAGGGTCCCCGGCGGTGTGGGGGCCGGGGGTTCGCACGGAGCGGCAACTCTTACTGGGGGTGGAGGCTGTGGAGGGATTCGGGAGGAGTGATGGGGATGGTGGTGTGGATAACAACTGGGGAACACAGACAACGGTATGCAACGGTAAATAACGGAATACAGTGGTAGAGAACGGTAGACAAGGATAGAAATCATGAATACCCCCTACCTGGTGCTAATCCCCAGCAAAACCTTAAGACCAAAGACATTTAAAACTCTAGCGAAACGGTCTACTCAACGGTCGCTAACGGTCCCAACGGTAAATCCATCGGCCCATTCGCCATTTGCTCACCCCGACAATCTCCCCCTGGCCTTCCAGTCCGGCGGCCCAGTACGGCCAAGCGGCCTGCCGGTCTGTCGACAACGCCGTCGCGAACTGAGTCAAGCTAAGTTGACCTGCGCCGCATCAAGTGTGGCGCCATCAAGGTACATATATTTATTTATTTTTAATAATGCACATGTCGTAATAGGCGCCGGCTGGCGTGCATGTTTGGCAAATGCATGTTTCACAATAAAATGACAAATCGCTATAATAAAAAACCCCGATAAGCAAGAATCCTACGACCACGACTACGTCCGTAGTATTTGTTTTTTTCAAGTCATGCAATATAGCCGGATTCCCTAGGGCCGGCGGTCCTACGAGTCCGATGTGCCTTTACCGCCCGCCCGCCACTTAGCCGCCCAGGCTAGCCGCGCCCGCCGAAACCAGCACCCTACCTGTCTGCATCAGGATGCCTGCGCGGACGTTAGCAGTCTTCACAGCTCCGAGCGGCGCCGCCCACCTGGTCACCTCCTGCCCCACTAGCCACCGCACACTGGGGATGATGTCCTGAATAGGCACGGGCACAAAAGCCAAAAAAGGCGGGCGGGGAAGGTAACCCGCTGTGCGAGGCAGCGAATTTTCAGGTTTTGCCCCTCAAGACGTTCAGGTCTTCTCAAACATGATAAGTCTTAGGAAGAAAGGAAGGAAAGGAAGGAAGGAAGGAAGGAAGGAAGGAGGAGAAGGAGTGTTTAAAAAATCCTGGGTCGCTCAGCAAGCATGATCTCAAATCATGTTAAGTTTATACAAGTAAGGTGTCGAGGGATGCTGCAGCGACTGATTCCCCCATGGGGTCCCCCCGGGGCGTTGCCGCGCACCCACACACACCGGCTCGCACAGGTACACAAAAGCTGCCTCGACACCGCTGGCGGTCTCCCTCTCCGCCGCCGCCCCACCGCCGCCGCCGCCTGCCACCGCTGCCGCCACCTCCACCTCTACCACAGGACTACAAGGATCCGAAGCTACGTTTCGAGACCCTCCGCCGCCACCGCCACCGCCACCACCACCGCCGCCGCCATGGCCCAACGCCGCCGCCAGCGCCGCCGGCCAATCGCCCTTCACCATTTCAATTTCCTCCGAGGTCAACCCCGGCAGTAGCTCCACCAAGATGCCGTATCGGGCAACTGCTGCAGCCGCAGCTGATGAAGGATCTGCTGTTGATGTGCCGGCGGCGGCCGCTACTCCCCTGCTGTTAAATTGTTTAAGACTTTCCAGAAAGCGTGCGGCCCTAGTCTGAGCCAGGGCGGCTTTCACCCACTGAAGTTGCTGCTGACGAGTTGCTTCCGACGAGCTGCTATCGTCTGGCTCTGAAGCACTGCCGCCATCCCTGCTACTGCCGCTGCTGCTGCTGTCGGCGGTGGCTGCGGCTGCTGCTGCTATGAGCGGCTCCCAGTCGGGGGAGGTCTTGTGTTCGGGGCCCAGGACAGCCTAGGCATGGATAGCGGTGGTGTGTGCTTTGGCGACTGCAGGATGTTCGATACTTGTTGATTAAAATAAAGAGTGAGGGAAGTTATGAGGTCCTGATCGTTAAAATCCAACACGGGGGTGCACGGCCAGCTGGCCCGATGGCTCTACTCTTCGGGAGTCTGGAGCCCACTGTAACAACCACACACACGGAGGTCAAGATGCAGTCTTGCGCAGGAAGTAATTAGTATAATAAATAGCCCGCCTGATTTGTATCTTTTAAACTTTCTGGGAGAAAGAATTTTTCTGCAACTACTTTCAGCTCATTAAATATCGAAGATAATAGTATTCAATTTTATTCATTGTTTTTTATTTGGAAGTGGCTTTTCTAATCCCTTGGGCTATTAACGAGAAGATCCCAAGGACTGTTTAGTTTGATACAAATATAAATCATTGAATGAGGTTCTGCTCGGAAGGGGTAGGGCTTAAGCTAATTACGCTGAATCCCAACAGAGAACGGCGGTGGTGAAAACGATGGGGTGGCGGAATGTAAGCGGGCAAATGGGAGGATAGGGAGATAGGGAATGGGGCTAGCGGGAGATATAGGGCTATGCTGGAGAGGATAAAACCCTAGAGATAAACAAGGTACAACATATTTTTTGTTGTTGTTGTTACATGGTCGTGGGTGCGTTCCCCGTACCTGCAAACCACCCTAGTACGAGCCGAGGGCTCAAGGGCTGCCAAATCGCCTATAAGCACCATCCTACCTCGCACTACAACATATACAGTGATAGATAGGGCAATGAAGAAATAAACGGTTGAAAGACTGGGAGGGCAGAAAAGGCTGACATAATCGAATCTTAACGGGATGAATTCTAAACTGAGAAGTTATGGATATGCCCAGGCGGCCAACATTCCTCCCCAACTCATGTGACTGAAGAGGCTAGGATGGCTGTTATAGAGGCGCTGCGGAACCGCCACCTTGTCATTCCGGAGGAGGATGCGTATCATGTAGGAAGATCGGAGGTGTCTGACCCTGAAGTGGAAGCGGTGCTCAAGGAAGCGACGCCAGGCAAAGCGCCCGGTCTAGATGGCATCCCAATTGAATTATACAAGGTGTGTCGGAACGAGATTGCACCAGTTCTTGCTCAACTGTATACAGCCATGGGCCAAACCCAAATGCACCCAGATGGCTTTTTGCAAGGTGCTATCACGGTTATTTATAAAAATCGGGGGTCTCCCACCTCCCCGGGTAGTTATCGACCGATTACCTTGTTGAATACAGATTACAGGATTCTCACCAAAATTTTAACCCGTAGGCTGAGTCCAATACTAGGGCGAATTATCACGCTCGAGCAGTCTGCTTTTCTGCCGGAGCGCTTGATAGGTGCAAATGTTCTTTTCCTGCGGCATCTACCGCAACTTATGTCGACGACAGGACAGTCGTGTCTCCTGGCTTTTTTGGATATTGCTAAAGCTTACGATTCCTTAGATCGTAATTTTTTATTTGAAGCAATGGATGCTATGGGCGCAGGAGTAGGGTTAATTAATTGGACTAAACTTCTTTTATCCGATGCAGCGTCGAAAGCGGTAGTAAATGGTTTTGTTTCCCGTGAAGTTGCTCTTACAGCGGGTGTGCGACAGGGATGTCCGTTGGCACAGTTGCTATACTTGTTTGCCGCGCAGGCGTTACTATGTTGGTTACAGTACAACCGAGTGGGGATTCATTTACCCCAAAATAATTCAGAATTGGTTACAGGTGTGCAATTTGCTGATGATACGGAAGTTGTTTTAGAAGGAATCCAAGCAATTCCGGCTTTCCTTGACTGTATGAGGGTGTACGCACAGGCTTCTGGACAGCAACTTAACCTGGATAAGGTTGAGCTGTTACCTCTCGGCACCCACCCACATCATATAACAATAAATCAAGACTTGAAGGTCGTACATATGGCTACGGCTCTCAATCTACCTTTTACGGACGTGGGAGAAACCACAGTCAGGGACTGGGATGTGCAACTAGACAAAGTCTGGGCTCGGTTTCGACGCATCTCTGTGTTAAATCTTTCCATTTTTGGGCGTGCACATGCAGCGGCTGCATATGGGCTGCATCGTTTTACGTGGCATATGGAACACGGGGGGTTTCCCCCAGAAGCTAAACTCATGAATATTGAGGCTAAAGCGGCCAAGCTTATTGATAGGAACCTCGGACCGGTAGCACAAGAAAGACGACTCACCGGGGTTCCTAAATATTTGTTATATGGCCATCCAACTTTGGGCGGTTTGGGGGCATTAGCAGTACGACAACATGTGCAAGCGCGATGGGCATGCTGGGCAGTGCGTTTTGTGGGAGCATTACTCCAACCAGTCTTAGTGCGTCCGCCTTGGGTGATGGTCATGCAATCTTTCCTACATAGCCTTTACCCCAAATATAATCCTATGTGTATTTTTACGTCCCAGGTGGGAGTGCCTTGGTTTGGATTAATCGTTTTACCGCCAGATGTTCAGCGCATTGTGACAGCGTTGGCATACCTTCCCCCAGTGGAAGATGTTGATGATCACCCGTTAGTTCCTAATGCGTGGTGTTGGAATTTGCCATTATGGGGAAACCCTGTTCTTCCAGAAAAAAGGGTGAATGTCCAGTTAGATAACATCCGCCCAGGACTAGAATTTCGACATCAGGCCCTCCTGGGCTGTAAAGCATTGCATACGTTGGGAGATGTTCTTTGCGCGCGCGAGGCCTTGGATGGAGTTATGAAGGCAACGGACCAAGCAGGCCTAGCAATACGCAAGGCTTGGCATCAAATAGTGGATCAATACCTCCAACCGCAAACCCCACTAGCTAAATCCCTGTGCACCTATCGTAAATGGCAGGAATGTATGGATGCTATTGGCGCTCTTCTAGATGATATTCCAGCGAATTGGAGACAGGCGGCTAGTCTTTTGTTGCCGCTGAGTGTAGAATCTAGGGAAGCAATGGTGCCCCCTATTGAGTCGGTTACCCAAACCCTAGTGTCGAGGCTTGGTTGGAGATGGGGTGTAGGGCCTCCAATCCGATTCCAACACTTATCCGTTAAAATAGCGACTAATATGCAACTTTCACCTTTTTCGATGGCTCGCCGTGTGGCCCATACCCTTTTCATCAAAGAGGCGACGGGTTCTTCTGAGATATTGGATGAAGCTATTCTTCTTTTGCAACGGACATTCCATCGTTTATGGTTTCATTTACGGTGGGAAAATGAACAAAAAGAGGTTTGGTGGCGTCTCGCGGTTGATGGGGTGCCTATGTTAGGAAATTCCCATCTTAGGATGTCGCGCCCAACGATTTGTGGTTGTGGAGGTTATCCAATAGGTTCAGTGGGAGGTGTATCCCCTCGCTATCATCATTTCTGGGCTTGTCCGGTGGCACAGGCAGTAGCAGATCAACTTACTCTTTCAATAGGAATGCCAGTCTCAAGGAAGCAACTTTGGCTTATCCAAGCCCCACAATCAGTGCAACAATGTGTTTGGGATGTTGTGGCTCTTGCTGCGGTGTCAGCCATGGAGCATGGGAGACGTTATATGGCTGCAAACATCAAAACCAACCCGGCACTGTTACCTGGCCCTTCGCTTACGGAAGAAGCAATTTGTCGAGTTATTGTTGACTTTTGGGGCCGCATTCAGGGTTTCGCAGCTTTGGGAATTCCACGGAAAGGTTGGGATTCCGTTGGCGTACATCACCCCTTCTTGAGAATTATATCTGGCAAATTGATGTGCTCGCGAGAGCGGTTACCGATGAGAGGTTAATTATCTGAGGTGATAATCTTTTGGTATATTAGTCTCTACTGCAGTGCACGGCCAGCTGGCCCGATGGCTCTACTCTTCGAGAGTCTGGAGCCCACTGTAACAACCACACACATTCCTGTCTAAATATGGTAATTAATAATATTTTATCAAGCACGGCCTGTAGTTAGGTCAGGTAGTAAACGGCGCATATTTCATTCATTATTCCGATGATTGTCTAATTTGTATAATTATATTAGTCTCTACTGCAGTAATGCACGGCCAGCTGGCCCGATGGCTCTACTCTTCGGGAGTCTGGAGCCCACCGTAACAACCACACACACACATTATTCCGATGATATGGTATGTAAGCGTACCTTCAAATACTATATAAGCGTAGTTAAAATCCCTAGATTCATTGGTAAGGTAAGTATATAAATTAGTTCCATGAGAGCCGCCGGCTACATTGGCTGTGTGTGAACCCCGTAAGCGCCAAAAGCCTAGTTCTTTTGCGCATATATTGCAGTTCCTTCGCCGGCCTTGTAACACGGTAACACGTTATGTGATGTTGGGCTGAGCAATTACACGTGTGTGGGGCTCCGGCACCGGCCCGGTCTACCCCTCCCACGTCCCCCTCATCGCACCGTACCGCAAGAGCACCCAGCTCGCTCGAAACCTTCGAGATGAGCGACGGGTTGGCAGCGACGAGCATCGTATCATCAGGGATGTACGACAGGAGAGTGGCACCTCCCGTCTGGAGCGCAGCGCGCAGGGCGCCCGCGTTGGCGCTGCCCGTGTAGGAAATGAGAAAAAGGTTACGAGAACCGCGTTCCTTCCTGGGAGGTCTTATGCCTAAGGCAGAAGCGGTGGAAGCATCGCTGCGGGCAGCGATCGCAGGGGAGTCGCTGCCTTGCGCAATGTCCGGCCTGTATTGAGTAGGAGGTATCGAGCAGGTAGACGGAACGCAGGTAGTACAGAGTTAAAAGAATTTTAGAGTCTACGCAGGTAAGCCCGACAGCAGTCATGCAGGCAACGTGGCTCGAACGTTATCCTTCGTGCCAACAATTGCAAGGCAAAGCCTTCGTCGGAAAGCACTAACGTCGGCAATTACATTTGATAGTCGATGCCCATGATTACTGTTATCCCTAATGATATCCTACCGTAAGTAGACATCGCCTGTTCGCAACGAAACTTGTTTAGTAGAGGCAACTGCCAAGAGATGGCCAAACGCTATAATGGCGCCCATAAGGACGCATAAAGTGCGTTGCAGCATTTTTCATGAACTGACTCTAGCGGTTTGGATCATAGGATATAAAGCGATGGTCTTTGTGCCAACGCTGTACGGTCTTACGCACGGTGCGAGAGTGCGATTATGGATCATAAATTGATGAGCACAACAGATAAGATTTCCTGGCTTTTTTGCTACACCACACAAAAGGTACGAAAACGTTACGCTGCCGAGCCGCATTGTATTTGCTTACTCGTAAACTGACACGATTACTTCTTCACATCGCTCACAGTAAACCTCCAAATGTAATCCTTTATAGTCGCAAAACTTTGTCCATATAACATGATCGCAATGCTTAAGGATATCACGTACCACCGAGGTACCCGCCTCAATCCGCTTAAAAGTCATTAAACTCGCCAACCTTTTTTAATATACCGTCCTTGATTCATTAGGGTACCTAGGATGCCCAGCCCACCATGTGCGACCGAGGCAGCTTCCGAACAGCTCATTGCGAGTACCAAGCGCTAATCCTTGCGCACCGTCAAACCACCAGATTTACGTTCATTCCTTGCCGCCGTAAAAGCCGCCCCAGACGGCTCAGACGCGTTCGCGCCGCGAGCAGCTCCACCAACCCCCCCAGCGCCGACGCCTCCTCCCGGCGCTCCTGCTGCTGCTACTTCCCTCGAAAACGAGCACTACTAATGCTTCTGCCCCGCGAAGCCGTCCTTCCAGCTGCGCCGCCGACACCGCCCGCAGGTGCACTCATGACCCTGGGTGCGTGGGGCGCGTACTCAGGCGCCGCTTGAACCCCGACCGAAGAAGCTCGGGCCGCTCCTGCGGCGGCGGCTCCACCAGCACTTGACCCCGCCGGGCCTTCCCACTCCGCGCCGCCAGTCAGGCCCGAAGCGCCACGGCCCGCCATGTACGCCGCAGCACGAGCCAGAGCCGCTTCACGCGGGGATAGTCCGGAGGGGGCCCCAGGCATCTCCAGCCGCCGCCGTGCTCGCGGCACCGGCACTCCTAACGGGCCCTGCGTCATCGTCGGCGGGCCACCCAGACCCGGTGCCGTACGGCCCTCCGCTGCCGCCGCCCACAGCGCCTGACGACCAGCGGCCTGCTGTGCGCGCGCGGCAGCGGCGGCAGCGGTGGTGGCGGCGCCTGAGACTGACGCTTCTCCCCGTCCTGGCGCCGGCTGCTGCTGAAGCTGTGGCGGTACGGCGGATGACGACCTGCTGCTAGCTCCTCGTCGCTGTTGTTCTGATGCCGCTGCCTGCCGCGTGGCGAGGTCCGCCATGTAACTCTGTTGCTGGGGGTGCGTGACGGGCCGCGGGGGGAGTGAGCCGGGTGCTCTACCGCCTCTACCCGCCCCCGCAGAACCTGCGGCAGTGGCCGCTGCCGTCGCAGGTCGTCCCCCGTTTGCCGGAGTCCCACTCCGGGGCCTAACCGCTGCCGCCACCACCGCCGCCGCCGGGATGGCGCTGTCGCGTCCCGCCTGCCGCCGCTGCTGCGGCGCCGGCGCCGGAGGCGCCGCGGGTGGCTTTTGCTGCTGTGATGACTGCCGGGAAGGTCCCCTGGCGCCGCTTCTACTCTGCTCACCGCCGCCGCCGTCGCCGCCGCCGTCGCCGTCGCCGCCGCCGCCGCCGCCAGAACCCAGATACCGTTGCTCCAGTGCCACCCTCCGATACAGCCGCATCGCTCGCTCAACTTCCGCATCCAGAGAATTGCCGCCTCCACTACCGGCTGCCGCTGGTGCAACCAGCCGAGCCGCCGCGGCCGCCGCCGCCACCGGCCGTTGCTGCAGCAGCTGGTGTCGGGGCGATGGGATTCCTGGAGGTCCCGGTCGTTGCGCTTGCGCTGCCCTAGGGCTGTAGCCAGGGAATGTCGTACCGGACGAGACGCCGGATTCCCGGGGGGGTGATGGAGCCAAGGTTGGAACAGGTGGTGGTACTGCGTGTGTTTTGACACGGGGCGGGGGAACAGCGGCGCCTCCCCGGCCAGATACGGCCGACTCCTCCAGTCGTACACGACCGCCGTGTGTGGGATCCAGGGAATCCCTGAATTAAGAAAAAGAGCAGAGGGATAAGGGTGCGGTTATGTATGCGTTTGTCCGTCTGCGGGTGTATCAATGTGTTGTGTTGTCAGATCCCCATCAGTCTTACGCCTCCACCAACAAGCCCAACTTGGCATTTGTGCCAGCAACCTCCCCGCCCTCGCGTCCTTTTCCTCCCCTCCCTCCCCCTTTCCCTCCCCTTCCCTCCCACCTCCCCTCCCACCTCCCCTCCCACCTCCCCTCCCACCTCCCCTCCCTCCTCCCCTCCCCTCCTCCCCTCCCTCCTCCCCTCCCCTCCTCCCCTCCCTCCCTCCTCCTCTCCCTCCCCCCCCACCTGAACATGGTATCCTGGTGGAAGGTGACCCGCCTGCCGGGGCGGGAGGGGGACTTGCGGGCCCGGAGCGTGTCGTCATAAGGCCCACCCATATCCGTCAGGTACATCGGATCCAGTTCCGTGTGGGCACGGGGCTGGGAAACCACCTGAGCGGTAAAATGGGGGGAAGGGGAGGGGGCGCCGCAAAACAGCAAAACGGAAAATATCCACTCGTCACTTTGCAGCAGAGGGTAAATATAGGCGACCACACAACCAACCACCCCCATACACACACACCCATCATGGAGAGATAGAAATAAGTTTACTTTACATTTTTATTATCACTTCAACAATAATCTAATTAATGGCGAAGAAATGGTTTTGGGGGCAGGATGTGAACCGCGTGGGGTGTTCTACCCCGGCGGGTATTCTCCCCTCTCCCTCCCCCTCCCCTCCCGGAACCCCCCCCCATTTCCCCCCCCCTCCTCAGCCCACCGACCGTGCCGAGGGGGTTGGGGAAGGGTTTTGAGTCGTTGTAGCTTCCTGGTCCCGGCACGTGGTCCCGCGGTGGCGACGGAGTCCGGGGTCTCAGGGACCAGGCGGGCCCCGTCACCATATCCCGGGGGTCGTTATAGTCACCTAAGGGGGGTTGAGAGAGAGGACACGGAAGGCGGCGGCGGCGGGAGTGGCAGGGGCGGGGTGAATAGGGAAAGGGGGATACGTGCGTGCGTGCATGGATGTGTGTGTGCGTGTGTAGGGGGGGTGTAAAAAGGGGGGGCCCCTCAGGAGTGGGATTCAGGAGTTTCCCTTCTACTATTCTTACAAACACGTAAAACACACTTATATCTGGTGGGGCACGCCTTCTATCGCACCTGGTCCCGCATCCGGTTTGTACGGCATAGGGCCCTGCGGTTTCTCCCCAAAGCTCCAGGCCGGTCCGGCGGGGGAGAGGGGGCTCCAGTACTGCCCCGGCTCCGGAGGCAGTTGGCTGCGCTTCCTGCGCCGCCTGCATGACATCGTACATGCCGTACATAACATGTACACACACAAAAAGCGAAGGCATGAAGAAATACCTAAAGACATATACATACATACATACATACATACATACATACATACATACATACATACATACGTACAGGTGTGGGGAAGTGGGGAAAGGCAAGAGCGCGCCTGTAATTATCGAAGTTTGGAATGAATGACTGAGTTTTGTGGCCGCCTGTCAGCCGCGAACGTGACTGGTGAACGCGAACGAGAATGAAGTCCTACCCTACCCTACCCGCCTCCTGACCCAGCGGGCTGTAGACAGTGACGACCTCACTACTACTGCTGTCTTTGATGCGCTCTAGATCTACTCGGTAGTGAAATCCACGGTACCGGGTATGGCTGCCGACCAGTCATGGGCTACATACAACTCGCAGCCCATCATCCCTAGTAGTAGTGTCGGTAGTGTCGGTGTTGCTGCTGAATGAGGAGGAAGGGGCCTTGGGGCAAAAAGGGCGTTTCTGTTCTGATCGGTGCGTAGGGCCCCGCGCACGCTCTCTGCCTACGACGATAAGTCGGGTCCAGGTCATGATGAACGCCGGCACGACTTGGGAATTCTCCAGGTAAACCCCAGGTTTATGAAGGAAAGGAAGTTTGCAGTAGTGATGCGATGCTGCGTTATGCAAACTAGAAGGGCTAAGGAGAAGCTGATTTGTTCTTTCCTGCACTGGCACACGTTGGCGATATGGACGACTCCTAAGGCTGAGCGAGGGAGGCTGTATATATAGAGAGAGATATTTCGGCTTGCTCGCTTTTCCGAGTACCGGGGCAGAGAGGTTGAGAGAGAGGGCGAGTACATTTTTAGGATTTACACCTTCGCCGATGTATTGTTGTTATGGTAGGGGATCTGGACTCACATTTGGAATTGTTTGAAGGTAAGGAATCGGACGAGGCTGCGCTCATCATGAGGCATCTCGGGCGTCTCTTGGTCGCCTTGTAAACCGCGTAAAACCACCTGCCAGTCATCTTCTGAAATTGATAAGTCGCAGAGTGCTGCGCCATCGTCGTCGAATAGCAATTCAGGAAATGACATGTTTATGATCAACATTTTTGGTTGTCAAAATGAGCGGAAAAAAGCGAGTTTTGCAGCTGCTTCCGGCATGGGCGGCTCCATGCTGCACCGTACCAATCGCACATCGTTCACGAACAACCGCCAACATAAGTCGTTCTCTGGACTACGATATTTCTTTTGGGGCTTTTTAGTAAGTTCTAGCAAAGTCGTGGCGTTTAAAATTGGATATTGGACGAAATGTGTCCGTTGATTCGCGGACGCGCAGGCAAGCTTATGGACTTTGCAGAGATTTCCCTGTTTACACTGCAACACATATAGCCGGGTTGAAAATTTTTAATACTGCAGCAAGTTCAATCTGGTTAACATGCGATAGTCATTTTTGCGGTTAGGGAGTTGTTTACTCTTTTTCACTCTGGTTACGCCGAAAACCGCGCCCGCCGGTAAGGCTTGTTGGAAATGATTGACACTCATATACCAGGGAATGGTAGCCACAGAAATAGGACCCGGCTGGGGTCCGGCGCTTTGTTGGTTTTAACAAGGCTCAACCTGCTGCTGTGCTTCTGGCTTCAATGTTCATATAATACATCTTTCACAATCTTACCACGCGAATAATCCGTCTTGCTTTGTTTTCCCGCTAAAACCGACCCCGTTTTTTGGGCCGCACAGCTACGTCGCTTTTCACAACTTGACGAAGACTACAACTCGACAGGCAATCACCCAATTATGCATCATGCAAAGTGACGAAACAAGATGCTACCGGCCGTACTTGCCAGCAGCAACATGTGTGAAAGTGATGGGATGGAACTAGGATGAAACTTCTTTTCATCATGTGTGGATTTCGCGCGATGGTTGCTGATTATCTAAGCTATGAAGCTATGAAACTTCCATTCGTCCCGTCCTTTCTTTTTCCTCAACCAGCTGAACTTTACATGCTGTCACCAGCACAACTTTCAACCATTCCGCTTTCCTTCCTTGTATCTTTTGGATATATTGTTCCAAGCGGGATCTGCAATCCCACTTTTCTCCGCACAAGCACCTTCCGGCCGGCGTCTTAGCTTCCAAAAAGGAGTCGCTATAAGCTTCTCACGAAAGATGGAACAATAACAGGTACAACTTACCCAAACGAAACAGCCCTAGGAACACTGCCACAAGAAAGCCGTTTCGCGCGAGCAGTACGGCAACCGCACAACGAACAAGCACTGCTTCTAGAAGATATTTTCTCTAATTCAGCACGTCTTCTGCTAGTACTGTGAACCACCTAAAAAACGGAGTAGAAGCCCCCCAGTATTCCCTTTCCCCCCCACACACATTCATCCCCATCCAACCCCAGCCCACCTGCTCCTGGGCTTCGCTCCCATGGAGTAGGCAGGGCCACCGGCGGCGGGCGAGCTGTAGTACTCTCCAGGACCGGGACCCTCTAGACCAGAAGGCTCCGCCAGGCGCTGAGATATCGACCAGGCGGGGCCGGAGGGGCCACTGCACCGAAAGAATGGGTGGGGGTGTGTGAAACGGGTCGAATGGGGGTTACGGAAGTGGTAAGAGGTTGAAGAAGAGATTTAAGAAGAGATTTAAGAAGAGATTTAAAAAGAGATTTAAAAAGATGTTGTAGAGATTTTAGGCAGGCGGGCCTCCCAAAGATAGGAGAGGCGGGGAAGGGCGCCCCGGGGAGAGGGGAGCGGGGAAAAAAGCCAAAATGGATGGCAGATGTGCGGGGGGGGGTAAGGGGCGAGGGAAGTCAATCATTCGCACCACAACCACCCCTCCACCCGCCACCACACCCCTATAAGAACCCCAAACCTCTTCACACCCAACCAAACGTCCCATGGGCTCATGGGGCCATGCATAGCCCCCTAAACTACTATAGACCCGTTCACGCGCAACAAGGAAAACCTCCAGATGATGTCGTACGGACATCCCCATGCCATGTAAAACATTAGCCGTACCCGTCAGCAGCGCCGTAGTCGCCCGGCGCCGGCGTCGGCTCCTGTTCCGGTTGTCGTACTTGCGGCGCGATGGTAAACGCCGGGCCGTCGGGGTTGCCGCTGGGGGAGTAAGCCCCAGGACCGGGACTCTCCCCGCCTCCAGTGGGGGAAGCGTGTCGGCCCGCCATTGTGTATGCGGGCCCGGTGGGAGACCCATCTGGATTGCCGTACTCCCCGGGTCCAGGCACGCCTTCGGCCGGGTTCCGGGATGGGGTTCGCGTACGGAAGGTGTATGCGGGACCGGTGCGGCCCAGGGGTTCCGGATCTGGATTGCCGTACATACCGGGCCCGGGAATGCTCGGGTCGGCGGGGGAACCGCCCTTGGCGTGCCTGTTGGCGGAACGGTTGTTTTTTTTGCGCGCGCGTGTATGAGTGTGTGTGTGTGTGTTGATGGAGGGTTTAGAGGAACCATGCTGATATTGCTGCTGACTATTGTGATGCAAAAGTACGGCAAAAACTTGAGAGGATATTGCAAAGCAACGAACAATCTAAACTGTTGAGGTCCAACAGCATCACACACACCGGGTACCGGAGTGTGGAGGCGATGTGGAGGTGTGCACTGCGACGGTTTTCAACACACTACCTCGCACTTGGTCTATGATTCTTACCCCGATGGATTGGAAGCACACACCACGGAAGCAAACACACACGCACGCGCATGCACGGGCCTCCCCTCCCTTTCCCCCCCAAACACACACACACACACACAGGGGTACAAACGGTTTGTCGAGCAATTCCGCCTCGCGGCTCAGTTCACTCAAGGCACCATCCCCCCACTACCACCCCCACCCACTACCACCCACCCCCACCCCAACCCCGCCCCACCTGCCCTGGATGGTGAAGGCGGGGCCGCTAGGCCCTCCAGACAGCTGCTGGTAGTCCGCGGGGCCGGGGCCGTCAACCGCCGCCGCCGAGGGGGCGGGAGGCCGGGTACGGAATGTGTATGCCGGACCCCGGGGGGAGCTGGGGAGGGAGTACATGCCGGGCCCGGGGCCTGAGGGCTGTGTGTGTGTGGGGGGGTACGGTAACGCAGCGTGGGGGTAACGGCGGGGGGGTTGGTGTGTGTTGTGTGTTGTGTGTGTAACTGAGCCAGGCTGGTGTAAAAGTATATCAGGGGATCGCAACCCTTTCGCAAAAGAAGGGGCGAATGGAGACGTCCAAAGGGCGAATGGCGGCAGCGAGAGAGTTTGCACCGGGGGGAAAGGCAGGTGGGGAAGAGGCGTGGGAGAGGTGGGTAGCGGGTCGGGTTCTGTGTGTATTTGCGTGTGGTGGTTGTTGGAATGTGACCGGACCAGCAAAGCGCCACGGACCCCCCCTTCCCCTTCGCGTCCCATTATCCTATCACTGCTGTCACCATTCACACTGGTACTATGTGTATGCGAGTGTGTCGGTCACTTTCCGACAGTGGTGACGGGCAAACGAGATCCCCCTACCGACCTCCCGGGACAGCGGCTCCGCAGCAGCCCGAGCTCTCATTGTGTATGCCGGGCCGCGGGGGGACGCGGGCAGCTCATAGGCGCCCGGGGGGGGGACGTCGGGGACTTGAGGGGCAACGGGACGAGCACCCATGGTCCAGGCAGGGCCGCGATCCACGTCACCGCCGCCAGCAGAGGCGTCGTACTCGCCCGGACCTGTACGGCCGGCCGTACACGACACGACGCGTAATTTTTAAATAAATAAGCACAAGTCATGGGCCACGGTCAGTGACGCGTAGCCCGCTGTACTGACAACAGCAACAACGATAAGAACATACATATAGTCACCTGGAGATGGTGACGGTGTTTCCCGCTCCCTAGGTCGGGCCCGCAAAGTGAAGGCGGGGGCTCCGGGCAGCCCGGGGTTGTCCGGGTTGTAGGCGCCTGGGGGGGGGGAGGTGGGGGTGGGCGGGAGGCGGAGGTGGGCGGGAGGCGGAGGTGGGCGCGGCAGATAGATAGATAGATAGATAGATAGATAGATAGATAGATAGATAGATAGATAGATAGATAGATAGATAGATAGAAAAATAGATAGATAGATAGGTAGGTAGGTAGGTAGGTAGGTAGATAGATGGAGGTCCGGTTCCTTCTTGGCTTTGCGCCACATACACACCTATACACACATGTCTCTACATCGCCTTACCTTAAAAAAACCAAAAGAAAACCAACCATAACAACACATAAAGCACATGCACACACACACACAAAACGTCGTACATCTAGCCTACATCAACACATTTACTCAAAATGAGATTGTAATCTCGCGTACGACACAATCCCTTTGCAGAACACACCGACCAAAAAAACACAAGCACTCTCAGAACACAAAGCGCAAACACACACACACACACACACGATGACACTCTCTCTCTCTCCCCTTTAAGACACACGATGACACACCACCCAAGCACTCACCTGGACCCACGAAGGTCAGCTGCGGCTCCGGATCCGCGGCCCTTCCCCGGATGGAGAAGGCGGGCCCGCGGGGACCTGGGTGCCGGGGGTAGTCACCTGACGACGCGATGCCAGCAGCGGCAGCAACAGCAGCAGCGGCGGCGGCGGGCAGAGGTAACGGCACACTAGTCGACGGCAGCTCTAGCACGACAGCAGGACAGCGCGACCGCACGACGATGACGACGACGATACCTCTTTTCACGAGGTTCGCGACGGACCCCCAGCTCGAAGTCCTGAAGCTTTTCACCGAGGCCCCCAAAAACCCCCCGACCCTCTCTTTCTCTCTCTCTCTGTCGTCCTTCGCCTTCAAAAAAACATTCCTTAACCATACTCCCTACACTATTTTCTCCACAACACAACATTCTCTCCACGACATCCACTCTTCAACATTCTCTCTTCAACATCGCGCTCATCTTTCCAAGTCAAGTCCCGCTTACCGGCCGCCAACACCCCCCCCCACACACACACACACCATCCCACACCGCTGCATGTTGCTGGCTGGCTTACCAGGCCCCGGGGAGGGCGGTGGTGAGCGCTCCCCCGGCTTGCCGCGCATGGTGTATGCGGGACCGGAGGGCGATTGCGGCGTCATCGTGTCGTAGGCACCGGGCCCGGGCACTTGGTGGCCAGTGTCCGGGTCTTGGGCGTCGGGCGAGGCGGGGCGAGAGGCCATGGTGAATGCGGGACCACGACGTGGCGCGGGGGAGCTGTACTCCCCCGGGCCTGTAGGGAAAGGGGGGAAGGGAGGGTAGCGAGATGGGGGGGGAAGAGGAGGAGCTACATGACAACGAGATGGAGAGGGAGAAAGGGAGAGAGGGTCATAAAAACACAACCACCTTCCGACCACCTCTCACAACACCCGGCAACACACACACCGTCACCTTACCTGGCGAGTCCGGTCGCTTCGCCTCCACCGGCCGCCCCCGCATGGTGTACGACGGCCCGCCCGGTTGCGTCACTACGCCACTATCGTACTCCCCAGGTGCGGGAAGATCGACCCGTGGGTCAGGTTCCACGACGCGGCCAGCCATGGTGAAGGCGGGACCGGGGCTCAGGGCCGGGTCAGTGGGGCTGTAGGCGCCGGGCCCCGGCGAGTCAGGCGGATCTGAAAACACAGCATGGGGGTAAATGCTACTAAGATACTAGTACATCATGTAATGTAATGTAGCGTAATGTTACAGAGTGGGAGGCTTCTGGGCCGCTTCATGCAAATGGCGGAGGGTGAACCAGATGGAGGACAACTGGGTGGACAACTGCCGCCTGATAGCTAATATGAGGATGGGAACGGGGATGGGTTGGGCGGGCACTCGCCCGCCCTCCGAAACCACCCTCCAAAACTTCTCCCCCAGTCTCACCGCCCCTCCCAACCCAACCCAACCTCGGGCCACGGGCCGGCCTAGCAGTGTGTATGCGGGCCCCCCGCCACCACCAGCCTCCCCAGCCGCCCTGCCCTCCTCCGGGTGGTAGGTTCCAGGTCCGGGGCTAGGTGGAGGGGACCGCTCTCGAGGCCGGGCGCCGAAGGTGAAGGCCGGGCCGGGGGGCGAGGCGGGGCCGGCAGCTGCACCGGGCTGTGGGTCGTAGGCGCCGGGGCCGGGCAGATGCTCGGCGTCGCGGTTGGCGGGGCCAGGGCTGGCGGGGCGGCCGGCGATGGTGAAGGAGGGGCCCTCCTTGGCGACCGGCCTGGATGAGCGCGATGTGGGTGTTGATGTGGGTGTTGATGTGGGTGTTGATGTGGGTGTTGATGTGGGTGTTGATGTGGGTGTTGATGTGGGTGTTGATGTGGGTGTTGATGTGGGTGTTGATGTGGGTGTTGATGTGGGTGTTGATGTGGGTGTTGATGTGGGTGTTGATGTGGGTGTTGGTATTAATGTAAGGGACGGGGATGGTGGTGGGAAGGGGAGAAAGGAGGGAGGGAGGAAGAACTGGTGGAAGGTCACGGAAGGTCACGGAAGGTCACGGAAGGTCGTGGCAGGTCGTGGCAGGCCGTGGCAGGTCGTGGCAGGTCGTGGCAGGTCGTGGATGCCGCGTGCGCCACAATACCAATTACTCTCAACTCTTCAATATTAAAGGAAGCCACAGATCGAAGGTATCATAATGGTACACCCAATGCATAGCTTGTAGCACGCGCATACATATACACACACACTCTCTCTCCCTCACGCACAGATGCACATACACACACAAATACAAGCACGGGGACCCTCGTGTAGAAGTTGGGAGGTCGGCAGTTGTCTCTATGACTTGTCGATGTAAACCCTAAGTCCCCACCCACGTGCACACGTTCTCACAAAGACGCGCACACACACACCCTCTCCCTCCCTCTCTCTCTAACACACACAGACACACAGACACACACACACACAGACACACACAGACACACACAGACACACACACACAGACACACACACGCGCGCACAGGGCTACATCCCGGGGTCACCTAGAAACCCCCACTGGATGCAGCCTCCATTTCACTGCATAAAGCCACCCCGTGGCTGGCATCAGCGACGGCGACGCCACCACTAGCACGAGAAGGCCAGGAGCTCCGCCTCCACCAACACGTCCTCCACTCCATTCCACAAACACAGGCCACTGCCGCACATAGCCATCTAGTACAGCTTTAGCACATGCGACTGCCGAACATGAAACTCCGCCTCCCTCATCAAAAGACATGATATGCGCCAGCCATTCGCGGCCACACCTGTAGTAGGCTCCAGGCCCAGGCAGGTCCTCGGGGTCGGTCTCAGGCGGTCGGCCACCAAAGGTGAAGGCGGGAAGCCCTTCCCCAGGGCAGTGCGGCATGTGGTACTCCCCGGGCCCCGGTGAGGTTTCCGGGTCGGGCTTGGGGACGGGCTTGCCGGCGAATGAAACAGCAGGGCCTGGACAGACAAGGGTAGGTGTGTTTTGGGGGGCGGGGGGTTTCCCCCCGGGGGAAGAAGGCTGCTTGTAAAGACCGCGCCGCTTTAATGCACCGCGCTGAGTCAGTACCTGGAGAGGGTGGCCAGCTCTTTTCGGTGGCCAGCTGGCCGGCTAGTGTCCTAAAAAGTGCTGTTCTAGCTAGAAGGGTGTAACGTGTATACGAGTGTGTGTATGCGGTTGTGAAGGGATCAGGGTATAGCGGTGGGGGAATGTCCGGGGAGAAGGGCTGAAGAAGAGGTGACCGCTGTATATGGTCTCACAACGGGGCACATGCAGTCTCACAACGGCGGGGGGTCGGGACAGCTCACCTGTCCGCCAAGCGACCGGCAGGTCGTACTCTCCAGGCGCCGGGACATTGGTATCACACTTAGCGTCCAGCCTGTCCAGAGGGACCGACCCGTGGTGGGTCATATGGGTCGAATCGGTAAAATGAACACAGAGCAATAGCTTTCACCAATAAGCTCCTAGTTACACTTGTAAAAAATAACAACCACAACAAAAAATGTGGAATTAGAAACCATTGTTATCGTTATATAGATAGATAGATAGATAGATAGATAGATAGATAGATAGATAGATAGATAGATAGATAGATAGATATCAAAAAGCATCATCCGGAGAAAGTCATGTGCCATCGCGCCATCGCATCGGAAACGACAGCTGAGCTAGGAGGAAAGCTACAAAGCTGCGCACGCATTGCCTAGATGACCCATGGGTCTCGCGGTCCTGGACCGATTTCTTAGGCAGACTGATCAACGCGCGCGCACACCTGCCGGCTATAGTGTAGGCGGGCCCATCCCGCCCAGGTGACGTGGCGCGCCCCTGCTGGTAGTCCTGAGGGCCCGGAGTGGGTTCCGGAGCCCGGGCCCGGGGCCGGCCGGCGATGGTGACGGCGGGACCTGAGCGGCGAGGGGGGGGGACGAACCACGAGCGAGTGAAGGCGATGCCAAGGAAAGACTGCTGCGGCGAAGGGGGGAGCGGGGGGAGGCCGTTTGCGCTCCCAAAGGGAAGGCCTTCCCCTTCGGTTAACATAATATAATGTACGGAAAGGGAAGGAACGGGGAAACAGAACTTGAGGTTCAGGATCGGCTGCTGTGGGTTTCAGTGTCGTGAGCGCAAGCACCATCAAGACCAAATGCAAGCTTTTCTGCACGCACCCGCTTCCATTCACCCCCTTTTAAGCCGTACTCCCCCTCCACCTCCTCCTCCCCTTCCTCCTCCCCTTCCTCCTCCCCCTTCCTCCCCACAGCAACTCGTTTCCCAACCTAGCTGGCCACGTCGCCGCCAAGCTCACCATCCAAGACATCACTGGTCAGTAATAAATATATTCCTGATGCAGCGTTTGTCTCCTTCCCCCCCTGGACTATGTCCGTGAAGCATCCATCTCTGGTATATCTGCTTCACTCACCAGTGGTTCGTCTTACCACCCTTCCTCCTCTTTCTCCTTCCGCTCTCACCTCCCCCTTCTTCCTCCCCCCCCTTCTCCCCCCCCTTCCTCCTCACCTCCCCTGCTGGATCCCACCACCAAGTACGCCCCGGGTCCCGGTGCGTCCGTATCGAACTTGCGCTTGGCCTTGCCGGCAAGAGTGAAGGCCGGCCCCTCGCGGCTGCGTGCACGGCATGTACGGCAGTAAGGAAAGGTAGTGAGAAAAGGCAGCCAGAACGCAGGGATTAAACGCGCAGGGATTAGACGCGCAGGGAAGCTGCTGCTAAGTTGCACCCATGTTTTCCCTCTTCCACGCTGGCGTTCCCTACACGGTGCTTAGTTAGTAGCACCGCAGGGTCTTAAGTGTCTACAGCACTTCACCCACATGCTCGTCTTGGTGGGGTCGTAGTACTCGCCGGGACCGGGCACGTCCTCGTGCTGGGTGCTCTGATGGGGCTCCCGGGGCCGGCCCTTGATGGTGAAGGCGGGGCCGTCCGCCACGGGGCGGGAAACGTTGTAGGCGCCAGGACCTGCCGGTATGTATGTATGTATGTATGTATGTATGTATGTATGTATGGGGGTTACCAAAAATCAGCATCAGCATCAGCAGCTGGGCCAGGGGCATGCGGAGGTGCATGTACATGTACCTGTGCATGTGCATGGCTGAGTGCATAGGTAGGCGCCTAGGCTAAAATTTCGCATGCTGCACTTGTAGCGCTTATAGCTCTCGCAACTGATGTTGCCGCCAAGCAAGCAACAAACGGGCTTCACGGACGATGCGGAAATGATTCAATTTCAGACCGAAATGGTGCAGGAGCCATAACAATATATACGAGTACAACGTGGTTTCGGGGCCATGGCTCCGTAGCGGCGGTTCCGGAGCGGCCATACAGCACCCAGCCGCGGGCCCCCCTCTCCCAACCGAACCAGCCTCACGCACGCACCCGGCACCTTGGCAGCCTCCGGATTCACCAACGCCGCAGATGGCGGCGGTGCCGTACGGCCGCCGATGGTGAAGGCCGGTCCAGTGCGGCCCACAGCGCCCACCGTCGCCACTTCGTACTGCCCGGGCCCCGGCGTGTCGTCTTCGGAGGCCTCCGAGCCGGAGGAGTAGAACATCGCGACGAGGGAGGTGCATGCTGGACATCGACAGCCTTGGGGGTGACCCTTGGCCTGGCGGCGCCCTGGACGCGGCTGCCGTTGCTCCTGTTGCCGCTGTGGCGGCGGCGATGGTGGCGGCGGCAGTGGTGGCAGGGAAAAGCAGGGCAAGGAAGAGGGACAGCGAATGGCCGGCGAAGCAGCCGCCGAGGCGGCGAACCCACATGGACCACCAGCCACACGGGTGAACAACATGGACACGAACGCAACGCGGACGTAACGTGAATCCAAGTGCAGATTGCAAGTACTGGTCCAATTCAAACCCGGTGGCTTTCGGCCCACACGCCCTGGTGGGTATGAAAGGTAGAGAGGAGTCAGACGTCCGGTATTTCCCTGGTAAGACTTCCTCCTAACAATTCCTCTACACGATTTACTATTCAAATTTTAACGCTTAATTATTGTTATTAAGCTTAAGAGTTTAATAATAATTAAACCCTAATTATTATGATAATTAAACCCTTTTTATTATTTTCATTATGATAATTAAACCCTAGTAATAAAAAAATAAAAAACATGCTGCGGTGGAGTCCCTGCGCTATATCTCCTACCAGCACGGCTCGCACAGCTGTGAGAGGGCTCCCCCACCTGATGCACGGTCGAGGCCGCCGCACGCCGCAAGTCCGCCTGATCCTGCCGCTCTACCACCGCCACCGACTCAAGCGCCGATGCCGGCGGCAGCAATGAGCCCGTCAGGGTCCGGAGCGAGGGCGGAGCGGCCCCGCCGGCAGGCGCCCAGGCCTGAGGATACAGCGCACCCCACTCCCGAAGCACCAGGCCGGTGGCTTTGGTAACGCGGCCTCCCTGCGATGAAACCACCGGCGCCCTAGTGACGGTGGCGCCCATCGGCGGCGGGGCCTTCGGCGCTATAGGCGCCATCGGCTGCTGCTCCTTGTCAAACTCGGCAGCTGTTTGTATGAGTGCGGGTGAGGCCATCGACGCTGTTTGGGGGGGTACATTCTGGCTGTTGGCATGGAAGGAGTGCCGCCGGTGGCGGTGCTGTCGATGTGTGTTTGTTTGCAGCGGTGGCGGTAGCGGCGGTGGTGGCGGCAGTGTTGCCGCGGATGTGGCGGCGGCGAGGAAGGCAGTGCCGTCGAGGGATCCGTGGCGGACGATGCGTGTGCGTACGACAGGCGCGTTTTGGGGATTGCGCAAGGCGGTTTGCGTGGCCGCGGCCGCGGGGTCGAGGTAGGCTAGGCTCCGGAGCTGTAGATCTGGGGAGGCGGCGGGGGCGGATTGAGGAACGGGAGCAACGGTGGGAGTTTTGCACGACAGCGGTTGGACATCGCACGGATGTTTGAGTACTCCTTCTCCGCCGCACATGTCTGTCGCGAGTATAGTGTATAGCCATGAGCTCCTACAGTTTGGAATCAGGCCCCTTATTTTGGCGCCCAGTTATGTTACCTGTCGTGTAGGACGGAAGCCTCCGGCTGAACCTGATGTCGTTGCCAAACCTGTCACGAATGTTCCGGCATGATCGAACCGACAGGCGATGTCTTGTTAAAAATCAGCAAAGCGCCGCGGACCCCTAGGGTCCGATTGCTGCTCTCACATTCCGCTGCTAGTATCTGAGCGTCGGTCATTCTCCAACATGTCTTCGTGCAATCTTCTTTTATTAACCTTACGAGGAGCGACCTACTTGAAGGGTTCTCCAAAGGTGCGGGCTTCCATCTGAGCCTGCATGACCCATCCTGCACGACAAAGTGACCAAGTCTGAGCTTTGGTAGGAGAAGAACTTCCAAAACAGCAGAACAACCGTTACCATCGATGTTGCGGTCCCCACTTGATGCTACAAAGCCGTTCTTGGCTCTGGGCATTTCGCCACTTGCCCGTCACGAGCAAGCACCGTTGTTAACACTTGGTGTTTTCATTATCAAGATAACCGCCTGATACGAGTAGAAACTATCGAATTTGGCACGGAATTGGTACAGCTGTCGCTGTCTGGCTCGTTCCACAGCACAAAGATGACGTCTTCCAAAAAGCTTGCCATGTACTTATGACAGAACAGTACAGAGCTTGATCAATATCTCTTGTTGGAACATGGCGGACTTCATTTCATCTTGCGCTGGAGCCTTTGTTGAGGTTCCATCGTCATCCGAAGTTGATTATGAGGGTTTTATTATTAGTAAGGTGAGATCAGTAATGTAATATGTATTCGCGTCATCCTCACAATAGCGTTGCGTGCCTCATGGCATGAGAGACCTACAACGGCAAACTTTCATCGCCAAAGACATACATGTGGCAGTCCTTTGCATTTTTCCCTAAGAATCCCTGTAAATCCACGTAAATTTTCCAGGTTGCCGGCGTCCCTGAGTACCACTGGATACGAGTCCAAGGTGCGTTGCCAACTGCTGCTGGGCTACCGACGTCTTCCAACTCCCCGCTCCCGCACACAACCCAACCAAAGCTCATGTGCATCCCGCTGGCAGCCACGCCAATACGCCAATACCACATATCCATCCCACTTAAAGCCTTAGCGCTGGTGTACCTCCATAGCATATACCCAATCATCCACAAATCTCCGGTTACTAAAAAGCAAAGGCGGCTCTCAGCACAGCCTCGTGCACCACATTTCCGCGCAGGCGTGGATCCGCGAACTGGAAGCCCCGCCCATGCCCGCCTCGAAGCGTCGCCGTCCCTGGAGCAGCTCCTGGGGGGAGCAGGAGCGCTGGGCCAGGTGTGCTCCCGGCTACGGAGCGCCCCCAGCGTGCAGCACTTCCTAGCTGACTTACAGGTAGGTAAAATGACCGCGTACCATCGTACCTAGGCAGGGCAACCCAGCTCTTCCGTTTTTCCGCCTGAGGAAGAGTCTTTCATACCGTAGTTCAAATCAGTAAAAAAATTTGAAAACGGAAAACAGACGCACAGCGGTTTCATTTTTTTCCAAGTTCCATTAATTGGCTATTTGGGTTTTATAATGATTCGTGGTCGTCGGGAGTTGTACGGGGCATTAGCCGGCCCTGACTTACTATTAAATTATATAGCCAGCCACTCTTATCATTATACTTATGTAAGCTATCCAATAACTAACATAACACATAGCATTCGGCGTGCATGTGGGGCACGTACGGCAGTGAGGACGTACATACATACGCACGCGTATGCGCCTGTGTGTATGACGTATGACGTTTGGCCAAGTGTGTCGAGGCGCTAGGCTTGGGAGAAATACTTGACAAACTTGCCTCCTCTACATCGAACCGTCGTTCATGTCGTTTCCGTACCATGCCGTACGGCGAGTACGGTACAGAACATAAAGTCCGTACGTCGGCTGTGTGCGTCCTAACCGTCGCGTGCGTCCTCCCTTAGAAGGCCTCCCTGCCTTCGCCAAACCCGTACGGTAGCCAAGCCCTTCACCCCCAATCAATCGACCAGTAATGTGGTGATGTGATGCATCGCGTGTTGTTATCTGCTTTCTCATCTCTCTGAACTTGTGCTGCCGATACCTCCTGCGCCATTTGCTGCATGTTGGCCGCATTGCAATAGGAGGTTTTAGAGCGTCTGGCGTACGGCAGTGCTGGGAGACTTGGTCCAGGGAGTCGTGCAGGCGGCGGCGGCGGTGGCGGCAGGTATTCGCGTGTGTGTGTTTGGGGGGGGAGAGGAGGCGTGTGTGTGTGCGTACGCGTGTGTGTGTGTGTGTGTGTGTACGTTTACAGACGTTGTGGACGTGTGTGGATGTTGTGTCTATGTCCTTGTCTATCGGCGTTTGCGGCTGGCAAGTGACGTGTGAGGATCGGAGGCCTTTCAAGGCTACTGCTACTACTTTCAACCCTACTTTCAACCCTACTGCTACTACTGCTAGTGATACTGCTACTACTGCTGGTGATAGTGCTACTACTGCTACTGCTACTACTGCTAGTGATAGTGTTACTACTGCTAGTGTACAGCAGAGGTGCTAGTGCCGGTGCCAGGGAAGTGGTTGAAACCGGGTTTCCATGCCTTTGCGGTGTTTTGCCCCCCGCACCTCGGCTGTCTGCATCTATCCCGCAGCTCGTCCATCTCGTCCAGCCGGGTGATGCAGCTGTTGCTCCGAGACCTGGACGAGCTGGGGTGGGACAGCCTAGAGGAGCTTGACCAGGTGGGCCCGGTAAATGCAAGGTGCGGTGAGCGAGTTAAGCGAGTGAGTGGCTGTTTGACGACAGTGTTCCAGAAACCCCGAATTTTATATATATATATATATATATATATATATTTCATCTAAGCTAAACTACATTCTTTTTGGACTTTGGACTCATCTTTTCTATTTTGCCTAGTACTACTTTCTTACCAGTTTGTTTATGAATCAACCCATTTTCGACCAACAACCCCTTTGGATCCAGAAGTAGTGCATGCATCATCGGGAACTGGTAGGGCTAGCTCTGTTTATTTATGAGAATCATAACATAAAGAAAAAATTGTTGCGAAGAGCAGTTTGTAATCTGTGAGACGGTCGAACCTGGTAACCCCCTGGTGCGCCCCCCGACGCATGGACATGACCTTGACTGCAGCTCAACCAAGTAAAGGATCCGAAAGGCTCAAGACTCAAAAAGCCCCCTATTTCGGTCAATTTCGGTCAAAGGCTCAAGACTCAAAAAGCCCTATTTCGGTCAATTTCGGTCAAAGGCTCAAGACTCAAAAAGCCCCCTATTTCGGTCAATTTCGGTCAAAGGCTCAAGACTCAAAAAGCCCTATTTCGGTCAATTTCGGTCAAAGGCTCAAGACTCAAAAAGCCCCCTATTTCGGTCCGGTCAAAGGCTCAAGACTCAAAAAGCCCCCTATTTCGGTCAATTTCGGTCAAAGGCTCAAGACTCAAAAAGCCCTATTTCGGTCAATTTCGGTCAAAGGCTCAAGACTCAAAAAGCCCTATTTCGGTCAATTTCGGTCAAAGGCTCAAGACTCAAAAAGCCCTATTTCGGTCAATTTCGGTCAAAGGCTCAAGACTCAAAAAGCCCTATTTCGGTCAATTTCGGTCAAAGGCTCAAGACTCAAAAAGCCCCCTATTTCGGTCTTCGGTCAAAGGCTCAAGACTCAAAAAGCCCCCTATTTCGGTCAATTTCGGTCAAAGGCTCAAGACTCAAAAAGCCCTATTTCGGTCAATTTCGGTCAAAGGCTCAAGACTCAAAAAGCCCTATTTCGGTCAATTTCGGTCAAAGGCTCAAGACTCAAAAAGCCCCCTATTTCGGTCAATTTCGGTCAAAGGCTCAAGACTCAAAAAGCCCCCTATTTCGGTCAATTTCGGTCAAAGGCTCAAGACTCAAAGCCCCCTATTTCGGTCAATTTCGGTCAAAGGCTCAAGACTCAAAAAGCCCTATTTCGGTCAATTTCGGTCAAAGGCTCAAGACTCAAAAAGCCCCCTATTTCGGTCAATTTCGGTCAAAGGCTCAAGACTCAAAAAGCCCCCTATTTCGGTCAATTTCGGTCAAAGGCTCAAGACTCAAAGCCCCCTATTTCGGTCAATTTCGGTCAAAGGCTCAAGACTCAAAAAGCCCCCTATTTCGGTCAATTTCGGTCAAATCAGTATAAAAAGCATCCATTTCGGCAACTGTTGATCTTCCATCCAGATCGCATACTATATATGTTTTAATGCCTTCCATGTAGGTTTTTGTTTGTTTTTTGTTTGTCTGTCTGTCTGTCTGCCTGTCGAACTGATATATTGTACGGTTACATCTTGTGGAGGATGAAAAAAGGAAAACAAAACTCTACCGCTGCTCCGGAACCACCTCTCCGTCCAGGACGCAGCCAACATGACGCTTGTGTACGTGGACGAGCATGGCCGGGAGCACCGGCTGCGTCTGACCCTGCCGTACGACTACCCCGCCTCGGGCCCCGCCGCCACCACGGACCTGCCGATGTCGTTTCAGTTCACCTGGCGTTCACCCATGCCGCCGCCGCCGCCGGCCCCGCCGCCGCCACAACCACCCCCGACGGGGTCACGTCCGCGATCTGGACAGCATTTGTACGGCAGCGGCGGTGGCGGTGGCGGCGGCAATGGCTGGTGGGCAGCGGCCCCGGGAGCACCTGAGGGCTCTGCCGGGACACCTACCGAGCAGCAACACCGGCAACATCAACACCACCACCATCATCAGCACCACCATCAACAGCAGCATCAGCACCAGCCGGCAAGGGGATGTGAGAATCCGGGTGGCGGCGACCGCAGTGCCGGCACAAGTGTTGCTGGCGGCGGCGGCGGCGGCGGCGGGTGCAGCAGCCTGGCAGATGTATTCCGGGCTTTTAAGCTGGTACGATCATGCTGCCGTACATACACGTACACGTACACGTGGCCCTGTAAAATGTGTACTTCGTGGTGCATACGGCCTCGCGTGCAATCAGACGTCCGGTACTGGTGTGCGCTACTACTACTGATGCGCACGGCAAGGCGCACTACTAAGTGCCCGACCGCAAACGAGCTCCACGGCTTCCCGCCACCACCTTTCTTCCACCACCGCTAAATCAGACGCTGATCGGCGACCAAGCTGATGATGATGGGATGATGATGGGATGATGATGGGATGATGATGGGATGATGATGGGATGATGATGATATGATGATGATATGATGATCATCTCTGCCATCTGCTGATCGCTGTACCACCACTTTCCATCCCCAACCAACCGTTCCGTACGCAACTTTACCCGACGCAACCAACCAACCCAACCGCCCCAACAGGCTGTCTCCGCCCACCAGCCTCTCTGGCGGTGCTTGGACCTCCTGGACCGCCGTACACGTGTACTGGATCCACCACCCTCCGTGTCCGCCTCCCGACGCCACCTGGGGGGCCCCACGCGGCGTGTGGCGCTGGGCAGTACGGCAGTATCCCTGCAGCTGCGGCTGGACCCTAGCGACCCGCTGGGCCCGCCCCCGCCTGGGGGAGTGGCCTTCCTAGGGCCCCCCGAGGCGGCGGCGCAACTGAGGGAAGGCTTCTTCGGGCGGCTGCACTTGTGGGACTGGAATAGGTGGGTGATTTTGGTTTTTGCTGTTGTTTATTTTTATTACAGCGGGCGGACTACCAAGTTTTAACTTTGTTTGTTGGTAATTGGGAAGGGCTGGATCGTGATGGTGGGTCTGGGGAGAGTTGGAGGTTGGGTGGGTGGGTGGGTGCGGTGGGCGAGATTGTGTATTGAGGGCATCTGTGTATAGCCTGAAGAGGACATGGGTAGGTAGGGGGTAGGGCGTTGGCGGGTAGGCAGGCTGGCGGATGGATGAAGACGACGGTATGTAGATGGGAGAAAAAGAAGGGAGTGAAAGTTGGCGCCGAGTCGTAATTTATTTTTTGCAGGGAAGCTTGAAAGTAGCAGCAAGGCGGCAGTAATCTAACAAGCCTTCTTGGTCATATCACCCTTTCCTGGCATTTGAAGGTCTTACAAGTTTCGTACTGTCGTACCGTACGGCACTGCTGGGCACCCGTATGTGCTTTGTTTTTGCCAGCTATCATTACGAGAAAACCACAGGAGATGTATTATAGCTTGACGATTGCGTCACTCTTGTCCGCCATCCGCCATTAGTTCTCTTTTTTTTCTCTCTCTCTTCCGAACCTGCCTTCCTGCATGATCCATCCTAACTTTTCAAATCGTGGATTTGAATTGCGCCGCCCCTGCATTGATCTACTGGGTACGCGCGTCCCTCGCCTTGGCATTACTGTTGCCTAAATAAGCGACATCGTGGAGAACTTGGAGATGCTGCTAGGTCAGCCTCTCCCGGCACCGCAGGGCACCCGTGGTGGTGGTGATCCCTGGAAGGAAGTGGAGGAGGACGAGTGTGAGGGTGAGGACAGTGCGCCACAGCAGCGCATGGCAGAGTGCCCGATCTGCATGATGCACCTGCTGCCCGTGGGGGACGATGACGATGGCGAGGATGAGGAGGCCATGACCGAGAACACTGATGGTGATGACGCTGATGCTTTTTACCTGCACGGCAGAGGTGCTGGTCGTGGTGGTGGTGCTGCTGCTGGTGGTGGTCGTGGTGGTGCAGCAGGCAGCGGTGGTGGTGCTGGTGCTGGTGCTGGTGCACTGCGGGGGCTGGTTCCGGACGTGGTGTGCCCCACACCAGCGTGTGGCCTGACCTTCCACACGCCCTGTCTAGCTGAGTGGTTGCGATCACTGCACGATACGCGGGTGTCCTTCAGCAAGCTGTTTGGCAGATGCCCCTTCTGCAGCAATCCAATCACCGTGAGGGCATAAAATACGGTAACCCAGCCGAAATACGGTAACCTCTCAGTGCTGCAGGCACCCTCACTCGGGTGCCGCAGCACTCCAGGATCACATCCATCGAGCACCCACCCATACAGAAGCCGGACAAGAGCATCGACTCCGCATCACTGCTTTTTGTTCCAGTCCTGATACGCCGCATGGCCTCCAGCAAAACTGACGCAGGCATGAGTACAGTACAGTCATCGATGTGTAGCAATGTAGCCTGTGGAGACCGGTAATCTCATGCACGTGGGGAATACCCCCGGAAGGGAAACCCCTCCAAGATTAAAATCCATGGCCCCCCCGGCTTTTACGGACACACCCGCACTTGTGTGCGGAACCTGTAACTTGTTAACTTGGTTAAAATCCAAGGATACATCTTGCTACAATGCATGGGTCCCTATCGAGGCACCGGTGGGGCCCATGCACAATGGATAGATTCCCGCCTACATCTTTGCGTGTCTCCGGTGCGAATCGGTAGCTCAACATCTAAATAGGGGTTGGAAATGTGCAGTACCAGTAGGCAGGTAGGACAGCCCAAGACCAGAGCTGGGTTACATACAATTGCATAAATCGAGAACACCAGCTGCTTTTTATTTTCCAAAATAAATTCACAGCAACCGTAATGAAATTGCTTGTGTGGCGCATCATCACAAGTAAAGCCAGGCCGGGTGGGACAGGGATTTACAAGCTGGAAGTACTCGTTGTATGTGCGGCTAGGTACGGCTCAGACGGGAGGTGTGCGGCTTGTGCGCGTTTTACTACTTACTTGTTCACGTGTCTTTCAACATTCAGCTCAGTAGTATGAGGGTGGAAGAGAGATGCCTGTCAAGTCACCCAATAACGATGGGTACTTACGACTTGCGGCACCGGATTTTCTGTCTGAGGGTAGTGGGTGGACTTGCTGGTCAGGTTGTACGAAGGGTTGGAAGAAGGAGGCGATCATAAGTTTGCATGACACCGCGCGGACTGCAGACAAGTCCCGTGCGTGCGTGCGTGCGTGCGCTTTACCCAGGTGAGACCATGTTATTAAACATGCGTGCATCCCTACCTCACCTGGAGCTTTGTGTGAGCGTTGTGTGAGCGGTGGCGCATACGTGGATCCCACATCAGCTGCTCTGCGTACGCGCGCGCGTGGATGCGTCACGTCTCTCGGCTGCAAACCTTACGGACCATTTCCGCTGCGTTCCCCAGGCAGCATTTTGGCATGCGTGTGTACATTGAATGCTTGCGGGCTGCGGCTTGTTGGCAACTGTTGGCGTGCATGCCAACAGATGCACGCATGCACTTCTGATGTAGGCGCCGTGTGGCTCGTGGGCCTCAAAGAGGGCAGGGACGGTCCCAAAGCAGCCTCCCAGCAAACATACCAAAATATTGGAATCCCTTCGGGTCAGCACACTGGTAGCCTGCTGCTCCAACGTTGGGTGGCAGCGTCTAATGAAATGAGCTGGGTCATTTGCCAGTCGGCATGTCTGTAGGATTTTTGTTGGTAGATCTCCAACCTGCGGGCCTCCCAAGGCCAGTGAAAGTGCTACATGGCCAAGTGGCAAGGAAAGGGTTTTTCCACGACGTCTGTGCGCGTCGAGGAGCAACGAGCTCATGAAAGGTTGAAAATTAAATAGATTGGAGCAGGCATACTTCGAAAAACGCTGATATATTGCCCCGACGTTCAGGGCGGGCTGCGGAAACAGATAGATATAGGATCGTCGTAAGGTAAAGGAATGATATGTCTGAATTACATCTGATGAGGTATTTGTATCTGCCACGTAATTCTATACTTTAAGGAGCAAACGAATGACTTTTGACGCGAGAATTTGGACTCCGCCGTACAATGAGCGCTTTAGCATTCTGTGGATACCACTCGGCGGAGTATGCCGTTTGAGATGTAAAGTATGGCGACAATTATCCTGGTACTCCCACTTTCTAGTACGTCGCGCTAGTCGAAGGAGCGCCGTATCAACTTGCAATTTTTGCCTCTCCGGGGCACAAAACTAAAGATTAGGATACCTAGGGGAATGTTTAGGACAAGGCTTAGCACCTAGAGGTAGTATCGTCACTGGATAGGGAAGCGACGCACTTTAGCTTGCTCAAGATGGCGGACCTGGACGTAACACAGCTTGAGCTGATAACACCTCATGTTACCACTCAGCTCCAGGTAAGCTCTACAACATACCGCCTCGTGCGCAAAGCTTGCATGCATTGTTGTTGGCGTACCTGGGCATAGATGCCACCTTAGGGCATTACAGTATGAAATCGTTGTCGAAAAGTAGTGATATGGGCGCCCTCTAAGTACACAACCCACTTTTCCTGCCGCGTACCATGGCTGGCGCCCTCCGGATGGACAGGCCGAGCTTCTGACCACGCGCTTCACCCTTTTTACATCCATCAAATCGATACGACTCCTCACCAATCACACAACACCAGAAATAGTCTTTCAGCAGTCTTTGGGCCCTTCTCCTCCTTAAAGCCAAACTTCCCATTTGCGCACAACCCCCTCAACCGCCACACGCCAGTCTAGTCCCCCGCCGCTTCCCCCTAAGCCCCCACAATCCCCCCTACCCCTGGACTGACCCAACACCAGCTTCCCGTCCCGCCCCCGTCCATCCCCTTGTTTGTTCGGGGCCTTATGTTCTGCACTTTTCCCCTCCCTTGACTAACCCCCCACACCCCAACCCCGGCCCCGCAACACCCCGGTCCACAACACGCGCGTCGTGTACGGAAACCCTCCACCGCATAACGCCCATCTTTTTCCCACCACGCCCGTCCCCCCCTGGACCACTTGACTGTGAAATGCCGTTCTCTTCCGTTCAGGCGAGACACGCCCTCGTGGCTCCTGCTCCCACTTTCTAACCCCCCTCTCCCCGCCCCCAACCCCCCGCGAGCATCCGGTCGTGGAGGCACCGTCAGGTGGCAGCCTTTGCTCCTCGCGTGTGTGTGTGATTCCCCACCACCTCCTCACCTCCATCCTCTTCCCTTCCTCCCCTCTCCTCCCTTCCCCCCGCCCCTACCTCCATCTCTCCCTTCCCCCTCCCTTCCCCCTCCCGCCCCCCTCCCGCCCCCCTCCCTCCAGGCCTTCAACAGCCAGGTTGTGGCCCACCTCAAGAACTACAAGCCTGAGATAAGCCGCATCTACGACCGCCTGGGGGAGCTCACGGTGACGGATGAGCGGCTGGAGGGGCACCTCAACGCGCTGGAGGTACGGGAGGAAGGACAGCCGTGCTGGGGGGGTCCCGGAAGAGGAGAGGGGGGAAAACACATTCACAAGTCGGGGGTGTGAACAAATGGAGGGTTTGAGAGAGGGCTTAGGAGGGGCATGGGGCGGCCCTGTGGGCCCCGTGTGTTTCGTGACATGAGGGGCGTGTGTGTATATGTGTATTTTGTTTGGAAAGGAAAGAGGGCTGCGGGGGAGTTGGAGTGCAGGGAGAGGTAAGCGGTCCGGACTGGGAGTTGAAAGGACACAGTAGACGTGTACGACAGCCCTGGAGATGCAGTACGGGGGGAGGAGAGGGGGGAGAGAGGACGGGGTTGGAGGGGGGAATGAGGGGGAAAAGGAAACTCGCAGGCTCAGGCACGAGCCCCAACTGGGATAGGGGGTAGGCAGGGATCGCTTGTTCAGGTAGTCGTTCGTTCCGTTGGGATGCGCTGGGTAACAAACCGTTTGTTCCGTTTAATGCGCAACGTTTGTCAGGTTTCTTTAAGAAGGGAGAAGCGAAGAGTAGTGCCCAGTTTAGGTTAAGGTGGGGGGGGAGGGGAGCTGGCTTTGGGACGTGAAGTGATTGAGGGGTGTGATTGAGGGGGTTGATGGAGGGGGTTGATGGAGGGGGTTGATGGAGGGGGTTGATGGAGGGGGTTGATGGAGGGAGAGAAGGGGCAACCGACCCAGCTGATTTGCTGGACGGCCTGGCTGGTGGAGGAGCTGCATGAGGGGGTGATGGTGGGTGGATGGCTGAGTATTACAGTGAAATACTAATGTCGGGTATGTACGGCAAATCCCCTCACACTGATCCCCTCTGTGTGTTTTGCTCTTCCACGCACTTTTCCCCCTGCCTGGACAGCTCCCTCCCTCGCTGACTTAAAATGTGGTGCTTTGGACATACACCGGCAATTGTCTCTTTTTTTAACTTTTTGGCGCCGTACAATCCCGTATCCCCTTCCCCCGTGAAACCCACACACCCCGCCCTTTCCACTACCATCCAACCATCCTCCTCAACCCCCTCAACCCGTTTTCGCAGTCCGATGTCAACCGAAATAACGACAATGCCGTTTCCAGTTACAACTCCCTGGCGGAGCGGTTGGGTAAAGTGGAGCAGCTGCTGTCTGCCTTGCCTTCTTGGAAGGATGACCTGGTGTGTGGGGGGGGGTGGGGGGGAAGGGAAGGGGAGAGGGGAGAGGGGTGGATTTGTGTGTACAACAGGGCTGGAATGGGCAGTGATGTTGGTGGGGGGATGGCGTTTGGGGCGGGAGAAGGACCGGCGTGTGCATGTATGTGTGTATCTATGTGTGTGTGTGAGAGGTTGTGTGTTGTAGGGAAGTGGGAGTATGAGTCGGGGTCTCGGCAGTTGTCTCTTCAACTTCTAGATAGAAGTCCCCCCGCACACACATTCTCTCTCTCACATACGCACACACATATGCACACACACACACCATTACATGCACCCGGTGACCCTTTCTTTTACTTTGTTACCTTTCTCGCCCGCTTCTCCCCCTAACCCCCCTAGCCCCCCTAACCCCTACCCCCGCCCCCTACCCCCTACCCACTACTCCAGGTGGGCCGTATCGAGAACCTCGCTCGGGAGACGAGGGCCAAACACGAGGCAGCGGCCTCCAGGGCCACGGTGATTGAGGACTCACTCAACTCGCACATCGCGGTACGGCAGGGGGTGCCGTACAATGAGGGAGAGGGGGCATGTACAGCAGAAGAGCGCGGTACATCCGATGATGTTGTTGTAACGGTTAAGGTCGTGGGTGCGTTCCCCGTACCTGCAAACCACCCTAGTACGAGCCGAGGGCTCAAGGGCTGCCAGTAAGCACCTATAAGCACCATCCTACCTCGCACTTCCAACGAGACAAGTGATGAAGGATACTAACGACCAAGGGGAACGATCTGATGATGTGACAGCAGCCAGGGTTAACCAGGTATCTAGTGGTGGCGGTGGTGGTGGTGGTGGTGGTGTTGATGGTGGAAGGGTTTGGGGTAACAGAAAGGCGGGTGAACAAGCAAGCTGACCAGCGAAACCAGTTTTGGGGGTTTTGGGGGAAAATCCCCGGGCAGGCCACGGGCAAACTGTGTGTATGTACATATATATGTATGTGTATACATATAAATGTGTATATGTGATATACATATATATGTACATATGTATGTATGTGTGCATGACCGTGTATGTACGTGTGTACGATTGTGTATGTTATAATGAGCTGCGCCGCATCGGGGTGCGAGTATAGGGGGCTATGATGGCGGCGGGTAGGACAGGTGGTGTATGTGTGTATGTGTATGTATGTGTGTATGTATGTGTGTATGTGTGTGTATGTATGTGTATGTATGTGTGTATGTATGTGTGTATGTATGTGTGTATGTATGTGTGTATGTGTGTGTATGTATGTGTGTGTATGTGTATGTGTGTATGTGTGTATGTGTGTATGTCTGTGTGTATGTCTATGTCTGTGTGTATGTCTGTGTATGTCTGTGTGTATGTGTGTTCCTCCCTGCACGATCCCCTTGCAGCACGTGCTCATTGCATTTGCAGCGTTTCCCCTTCCCCCCGCTCCTCCCCTCCCCACCCCGAAAATGCACACCCAAAAAATGCACACACAAACACACCCAAAACACACACACACACATTCCCCCCAACCTCTTCCAGGCCACGCGCGAGCGCCTCGACATGCTGACCACTGTGGCTCGTACGGCATCTGAGGCACGAGCTCAGCAACAGGAGCGGATAGACGAGCTGGACACAGAGCTCCGCCGCCTGCGGGAGTTCGCAGAGAAGGAGTTCAACGATGCCAAGATCAGGCTGAGACGTGGGTTGTGTTTTAGGGGTTGGGGGGGGGAGGGGGGTTAGTGGTGGAGGTACAGCGGGGGCCCGTAGGGCGGTGGTGGTGGTGGTGGTGAAGTCATTCAACAAATCAACCTCGGGGAGGGGGGGGCTATTGCGAGGGAAGGAAGGTAACCGCCTTATGGCGGTGAGGCAAAGCGCGAAAGGAATCAAACTGTGTACGATACCCAGGAAGCACCTCAATACTGATGGTGGGTGGGTGGGAGGGGGGGTTTGTGGTGGAGCAGTCCCCTAGGGTTTGGGTTGTCGAAAGGGAGGCTCCTGAGGAGGGGGAGGGGGAGGAGGAGGAGAAAAATCTTTGCACTAATTCGCACTACTACTGAGACGGCCGCTGAATCCACTGCTGCTGCTGCTGCTGCTGCTGCTGCTACTGGTGCTACTGCCTCCAATATTCTCAGAAGCTTCGTACTGTTATCATTTATTAAACAGGGACTTTGATTTTGAATTCTGAAGTCACATGCACAACAACCCAACTAGCCCTACCCGCCCTCCTCCCCCACTTTTCCGTACTACAGGCCATGACGAGCAGCACGTGGTGGCGAACGGCAAGCTGGCCGAGCACGGCGGCATGCTGTCCTCCCACAAGATCGAGCTGGCTCGATTGAAGGACTCCTCCGATCAGCACAACCGCCAACTGGAGAACCTGGCGCGGGGGTTGGATAAGCTGCACGACATTGCTGCAGGCCTGGGACAGTAAGTGCGATTTGGGTGTTGTATGCGTGTGTATGTATGTGTGTATGTGGGGGACCGGGGGGGCCCAGGGTTGGGGGGTTGGGTGGAGGGGGGATTATTTTACATGCAAACTGAAAGAGGTAATTGGGGTGCCGGGCGGGTTTGGGGGGAGAGAAGAGGAAGGGGGGGGGAGAGAGGTGGGGCGGGGGTATTTGGGGAGGTTGGGGGGAAGGGTATGACTGGGGGGGTTGGGAGTGTGTTTGGGTGTGTTTTGGGGTTTATCGGCTGGTGGCGGATTTTGTGGGTTGTGTTGGCGGGGGTTGATTAAATCCTGAAGGGCCTTCCTTGAGGCCGAAGCAACCTTTGTTCTCCTCGCATGTCGCCCCACTCCGCCCGGA